CCCTCCCTATCCCACCCCTCTAGGTGGTCATAAAGCACGGAGCTGATCTCCCTGTGCTGTGCGGCTGCTTCCTACTAGCTATCTATTTTACGTTTGGTAGTGTATATATGTCCATGCCACTCTTTCACTTCATCCCGGCTTACCGTTCCCCCTCCCCCCTCCTCAAGTCCATTCTCTACGTCTGCGTCTTTATTCCTGTCCTGCCCCTAGGTTCATCAGAACCATTTTATTTTCTTTTAGATTCCATATATATGTGTTAGCATACGGTATTTGTTTTTCTCTTTCTGACTTCACTCTGTATGACAGACTGTAGGTCCATCCACCTCACTACAGATAACTCAATTTCGTTTCTTTTTATGGCTGATGGTTTTTATTTAGGGGTTATTTTATAATCTGCTGGGTAGGAAGCTCCTACTTAGAGGAAGAATGTCTTTAGTATATGTTTCCGTTTTTAAAATCTTTATGTACTCTTACCATTGTGACCCATAGTACTTAGAGTTTATTCACATTATTGAAAATAGAATCTCTTTCCTCTCTCTTTCCCTTTACATTTTCATTTATAATCAGTACCCTTCCGGAAATGGTAAAAGAAAACGATCTACTCTTGTGCTCTTTATATTTTGTTGGTATATACAACTTTTGTAGTTTCTCTTATTTGGGGGCAAAAATGACGGTTCTACCTCTTGCCTGAATTGTATATGTAAAGAGAGGGCCTTATACCATTTTCTGCTTAAAAATGGGAATGTCTTTTCAAATACTTTTTTTTAAAATTTTATTTAGGACAAAGTAGATGCTGGCTTGCCTACAGCAATTGTAAGTATACTTTAAATCCTTTAAAGGTAAGCTTTCTATTTGATCAGGTTTTCTTAGATTTATTTTTCCGATATTCAAAGTTATTACATAAATTTTGTGATAATTAATTCATGTCATTTACTGCCAGTAATCAGGTTTAAAATTTGTCCGTGTTGAATGTTCTCATTCTTTCTATTTTCAGTTTTCTTTTTTTGTTTTGTTTTTTAAGAAAAATAATGATTAGCCTTTTCCCAATTTATTTGTATGTGGTGCTACCCTGCCCAAGTATATTTGCTCCTTCTGTGACTTGGCCTCGCTTTGGTTATAGGGAGTGGAAAACAGTGTTTGGTAAAATCACTTACTTTGTGGTAAATAGTACACTTAACAGCTCTGAACTCCATTGCCAAGCCTGCCAAATAGTAAATCTGTGGAGTGATTATAGAGAACTGGGGGATATTGAAAGCACACTAGTGCGCTCTTTTCTATTTTCAACTATTTCCAGCTGCCTCCTGTAGCTTTCTTATTAGATAGTCAATTGGTGAGGAAGTGGGCTGGGTTTTGAGTATTTCTGGTGCCTTTTGGCTCTTGTGAATAAGCTGCAGAAGGGCTTTCTTGTCCCTTTCCCACACTCGTAGGAGGCTCTTGGTTGGGTAGCATAAGTGCCTCTTACTTTGTGTGGACCCCTGAATTTTTCAAAAAATTGCTTTAGAGGAAGTTAAGTGGCATGTTTTTGCCTATAATGTTGAACATATGATATTTTAATATTGTTACCCTTAGAGTAAATTTAGAGGGATTCCCAGAAATAAGATGTTCTGAGTTTCATTTCCTGTTTTGCCTCCTAGATGAAATTTTCCTTATTTATAATAGTTGGTATGTTATCTGGTGCCTAGAGGAAAGAAAACCAGCAAATTCAATTCTGATTATTTCAAGATCCTTGTAATGTCTTAAAATGTAATCTTCTCTTTTGTTCTCAGGCAGTGTCGAGTCTGATAGCAGTGGGTACATCTCATGGATTGGCTTTAATATTTGGTAAATTTTCTAACTACTTTCCTTATTTTAAATATTAAGTATTTGGGTTTTTTTTAATAATGTCTTTTAAATCACAGTTTATATAGTAAACTTAATTTTTTTGAAAAAAGCCAGAAAAACTTGAAAAGTAGCAGTCAGCATTTTTATAGTTAAAAATTACTTGACTCAGCTTCATTTTGTTGCTCATTGCAAGTTTATTTTCTTCTTTATGAATTTATAAGCTATCATATCATATCTTTTGACTCTCTGCAGACCTAGACAAAAAGGATATAAAGTTGAGAGGTTGTCATTTTTGTCTTCCTCTGGTTTGTGGTGGTGCTAATGTTTTATTCTAAATCATATCTGAGTAGTAGGTATTTGAAAAGATCTTCAGGGAAAGAGATTCCCAGGCTTTCTCAGTAATTTTCAGTAACTCTTATTGACAGTGTTTTTTTTCATTTACATTGTAAATCCCTCTAAACAGAAAAATTTTTAGCCCATAATCACTTTCTTTTTTTGGTTGAGAAGAGAACTTAGCTAGTTTTATTTGTATGGTAGGTGATAGTCCTATTTTCTCATTTTCTTTTCCTACGTGAGACTAAATAAACCTAGTTTTAATCTTTCTTTGCTTTTGCATTCAATACTATGAGCAGAACATTTTGTTCTGTTTACTTAAAAACTACTAGATAATATTTTCCTGTCATTTTTAGTGTTCTCTATGGATCTTAAGTCTTTTGCAACTTTCTTAAATGGAATTCCTGATGACACTGTATTTTGGTAAGGACTCTACAGGATATTGTGTAAGGATTACCTGGGAAGACCTTAATAGCAGAACCACAGTTTGATCTCTGTGGGCCTTGCATTTTTATTTATCGTATGAGTGAATAGCTAGTTATTTTCCCTTGTTTTTGAACAATTTGACTTCCTATTTATAAATTTTCCATTATGCCAAAAGCCTTATTTATCTGTGTTTTTAACAACTAGTCTTTTCAAAGGCGATTGATATAAATAATAAAGTTTTTTTTGTCTGGGGATGAGAAGAATGGAAACAAAAATATAATTCTCTTGAGAGAACTTCAGAATTGATTCTTTAAACAATAATTTTTTCTTATTCCATAATATGTGTTCATAATAAAATATTTAGATGAGCAAAAGGTTGAAGATACACCAAATTCTGCCATCCAGGAATAATTCCTAACATTTCTGTATGGCCTTCTAATCTTTTTTCCTGTACATGTGTGTATATATATGTACACACCCCCAAATGTGATCATGTTAATTTGTAACCTGCATTTTCATTATAATGAACATCTTTCCATGTGATTATTAGTCATCTGTAACATAATTTTTTCTGTATTATTAGCTTTTTTTTTTAAATTGAAGTATGATCGATTTACAGTGTTGTGTTTCTGGTGTACATCAAAGCGATTCAGTTTATATATATATTTACATATTCTTTTTCATATTCTTTTCCATTATGGTTTATTACAGGATATTGAATATAGTTCCCTATGCTATACAGTAGAACCTTGTTGTTTATCTATGTTATATATGGTGGTTTGTATCTGCTAATCCCAAACTTCTAATTTACCCCTCCCCCTCTCCTTTGGTAACCGTGAGTTTGTTTTCTATGTCTGTGATTCTGTTTCTGTGTAACATCATTTTTAATGGCCACGTTTTACTTAATCGTTTCCTACTATAAGACATTTAGGTTGTTTCTAACCAAAAAGTAGAGTGATGAACATCTTTGTAACTGCATTTTTGTGCACATGATTATTTGCTTAGGACAAATTCCTAAAAGTGGGCTTGCGGAGGTCAGGGTATGAACATTTTAAACACTTCTGATGTATACTGCCTAATTGTCTTCTAGAAAGTTTTACCAGCTTGCTCTCCTATCACGTGTAGGAATGCTTGTTTTCCTATGAGGGCATAGTTGGTATCAGATTGATAGAATTCTGGGAAAGGATCTTCATAGGACTTTTAGTTCAATCCCCTTATTTACATATGAGGTGATTGAGAACCAGAGAGGTTAAGTGACATGTACAGAGCCAAATTCAGAATCAAGGAATACTGAATCCTAAGATCAGTACATTTCCACACTTCCAAGCAGTTCTCCAGTTCTGAGAGAAAAGGAGGCAAATTGCAAGATATATAAAGGAAAGAATGGAAGAACTAAGATGAATGAGGATAAAATATAATGTACGTGTTTATCTGTCAGCAGAATACGTGTTTATTTTTGTTCCCACTTACCAGTACTCACTTTTCTTCAACTCTATCTGCTTTAATATCCCTTCCTTACCGCAAGGTTATAAGAATATGTGCCTGCTTATAATCAAATCCATGCAGAGCTTACTGCAACAAATTAAAATGAAGTCTTTTTGGGCTTCCTTGGTGGCGCAGTGGTTGAGAGTCCACCTGCTGATGCAGGGGACATGGGTTCGTGCCCCGGTCCGGGAAGATCCCACATGCCGCGGAGCGGCTAGGCCCGTGAGCCATGGCTGCTGAGCCCGCGTGTCCGGAGCCTGTGCTCCGCAACGGGAGGCCACAACAGTGAGAGGCCCGCATACCGCAAAAAAAAAAAAAAAAAAAAAAATGAAGCCTTTTAAAATAAAAACTAACAGAGAAGAAGAGTTTATTGTCTTTCATTACTGTCTTCTTAATTTTCTTGGACCTGCTTTCTAATTTTTTTAGACCCCAGCAACTTTCTTGTAGATTTGATGAAATAATAATCTTTCATTACAGTCTCATGAAAAAGAAAGTATGCCATAATGAACATTTTGAGAAAGGATCATAATATTCTAGTTAGGCTTTGGATTTTTAATCATGCAGTTAATAAATTTTACTCATTTTTGTGGGAATCAGGTATTTAGACAATGAGTTTTAATAAATGGATTTAAATTTGCTTGAAAGCCAGGAAAAAAATGGCAGAGTAATAATACTATGAAGTAGAGATCTGGGTTAAATCTGATCTTTTAAACATCTTTGTTGATCATAGGAAAAAGTGCAGAACTGTACTTGCTTAAGTACCATTAGATTCTCTTTGGAATAGAGGCCTGGGTCATTAGAATAGTAATCATTATAAGCTTCTTAAATGTCATGTAAATTGCCTTTTCTTATGGAATTATAGGTATATGGTATTTATTATGTATCTTGGTTCTTACCTAAATATAGGATCTCAAGAATTCAAATCTTAATAAAGATATCTCCCTATCCTAAGGCCCTTAGTTTTCCATTTTTGGGGTTGTTAGTATACTTTAGTAGATTATCTTTTGGAAATTGTTTTTGTTTTTATCAAGCTTAATGGACTTGGATTTACTGTGCTAAAATTTGGATATTATGCATTTTCTTTATTTCCATACCAATACCTAAATATAAATGCTAGATGTATCATTTAATCACATTTAGTATCATTCCCACAGATAACTAAAGTTTATCACTTATACTCTTGAAATTTTACCTGTCTTTTCTCTGAACTTTTGAACTGATTTCTTGCTTTTCTCTTTTTTTTGATCTTTTCTCCATGGATTCAAAGGAAAAGGTATAGTAATTTTGGTTTGCATGAGTGACTCTTTTTCTTTTGACCTTTTTAATGTTGAAAAAGAATGTTACTAGTTATAGTCGATGTCCTCTTATGAAATGCTTATTGAAAAGTTTTGAAATTAGTTAAAGTAGGGAATTGTTAAAAATTGTTAAAAATTATAAATGTATGCATACCTTTAATGTTTTATTTTAAATGAAAATAAATTAGTGAATATTGTTCTTAATCTTTTGGCGTAGACCAAAACTGTTTCTTTGAGTTTGTATCTGCCAGTTGGACGTCTGCAGCATCTTTTTTGGCATAAGCTGCATCAGTGATGGGTCATGCAAAATTTGTACTTTCAATTAAAAAAAGAGGTAAAAGCTTAGGCACCTGTGAATCAGTCGAGGTGTGCAAAATTTTAGATTTTCATAAAACTTCTTTTCAGTTTTCTGCAGTTGTCTTGTCCATACGTTACTTCATGACAGTTAATTTAAAGCAACTCATCTTTACAAAGTTTTTCTAAAACATTCATTTAACTTTCATAGAAACAACAGCTCTTTCTTTTCCACTGTATTTCATCAGTTGACAATATTGTTTAATTACATTTTTAAAGTACAGTAGTATTCCAGTGGCATGAACAGGTTTGGAAATGAACACAACTGACTTTTCGTAAGCATCTGAGTTCTAGAAAATAGCCAGTTAGCTGTGGGGAGTCAGTGTATCGTGGGCTTTACTCAGTAAGTTTTATAGAGAGAATGGAGAACTTTAATTCTGTGTGTTTGTTAGATGGCGGTCAGGTAAAGTGCTTCTGCTGTTTTATGATCATTGATGAAAAATGTTTCCTAATAACTCTTTTCTTCTCCTTTGGTCTTAGAGAATATTTTAATAATGCACAAAGGAGTAGTATTGAAGAATGGTGAATACTGGCAATAAAAGTAGAGCTCTACACACATAATTAGATTTTGATTCCTTCTAGGATCTAGGTATTTCCTTCTCTGATGGTTTTTGGGATGTAGTTAAAACAAATTAGGGGTGAATAAATAGAGGATTAGATTAATTTTGGTATATGGAGAGCAGAAATTCTTGAAGTATGTACAAATTTAGATTTTATGGCTATTATAGACTTTATATGTTATTTATGGCTTTTCTTTGCTACTTAGCACATTACTCTTAAGCCTAGACATATGCTGAGATCTACCCTAAGTAAAGTGTACTGCGAAAGGTATACTAATAAAGAAATAGATACAATTCATTGCACTACCAAATGGATGTGCTTTTTGTGGTATCTGTGCTTCGAGTTCTCTTAATTAATTGGTAAGCTATTTATTATCATTAATAATAATTCTTCGTAGGACTTTCTTGGTGGACCAGTGGTAAAGAATCCACCTTACAATGCAGGGGATGCGGGTTCAATCCCTGGTCAGGGAACTAAGATCCCACATGCCGCGGGGCAACTAAGCCCGCACGCCACAACTACTGAGCTCGAGCGCCTCAACTAGAGCCCGCGTGCCGCACACAACAGAGCCCATGAGCCCTGGAGCCTGTGTGCCACAACTAGAAAAGAGAAAACCCGAACGCCACAACTAGAGAGACGCCTATGCACCACAAGGACCACAAGGAAGAGCCCGCATGCCTCAACGAAGATCCCGCATGCCGAAACTAAGACCCAACTCGGCCAAAAAAAAAAAAATCTTAAAAAAAAAATTCTTTGCATGTGTGCCATTGGATAGTTTTCATAGGCATTTACAAAATTTAAGCTCTATGCCAACTCTGAAGTTTATAGGAAAAATGATAGTCTCATTTCATATTTCTTGCCCAGATCAAGAGCCCCATTGGAGGAGGAGAATGTGGAGAGCTCTGATTTTCACCTTTCTTGCTTCTGTCCAGGTCCTTTTGTTCTTTCCATGTAGCTTTAGAAATTAAGTTTTTGGAAGAGGTTTTAAGTTTGTCTTCACCAAATACCTTTCCCCAGAATTGTCTAGAAAAATCTGGACTACAGAATGTTCTTCTAGTAGAAGAAACCTCTTCAATAAGACTCTGCTTTCTTCTTTCCACAGAAATTCTACCTTTTCTGATTTTAGTCTAAATTGTATAGCAAGTTTGTTAATATGGCACCATAAATATAGAATGTATAATGACAGCAATAAGAATTGATAAGTATCTTTGTGGAGTTAAACTATGTTACATTTTATGTACTATTACCTCACAGCCACTCTACCTTATAAAGAGACATTATAAATATAATGAATACATTGTAAAAGTTAAGGACAAAAATTGACAATGTTTTCATTAACATAGTCCTGTGGGATGTAAATTTAATACATATTTCAGGAGTGACCAAGGCTGATAATTTGGTCCTTGTCTTAGCTAGTTTTTTAGTACACAGGACCCACAGTCAGGAAAGCAGAGTCAGGTTTGGGTTTTTAATGTAGAAGTTAGATGTGTCTTTTTCCTTCCCTCTTTTTTTCTCTATTTCCTTTTTCTTAATGGTACCCTTATTCTCTATTTTGTCATACGCCTTAATTCTCCTGTGCTTACTTTCCCTGAGTTATAAGAGTACTTAAATAGTATAATTTAAAAAATACATTTATTTATTTATTTATTTATGGCTGCATCGGGTCTTCGTTGATGCACGCGGGCTTCCTCTATTTGCGGTGAGCGGGGGGGCTACTCTTCACTGCGGTGCATGGGCTTCTCATGGCGGTGGCTTCTCTTGTTGCGGAACACAGGCTCTAGGCATGCGGGCTTCAGTAGTTGTGGCATGTGGGCTCAGTAATTGTGGCTTGCGGGCTCTAGAGCGCAGGCTCAGTAGCTGTGGTGCACAGGCTTAGTTGCTCTGCGGCATGTGGGATCTTCCCGCACCAGGGCTCGAACCTGTGTCCCCTGCATTGGCAGGCGGATTCTTAACCACTGTGCCACCGGGGAAGCCCAAATAGTCCAATTTAAAGTATGAACTTAGGTAAAGCAGGAAGCATTAGTTAGTGTCTTTAAGTATTGGTGGATCAGAGCTGTATAGAGTTTGGATCTCAAAACCGGGATTACAAAGGATCTCAGCAGGATGCTATTCAAACACTACTCTCCTAGAAGGCAGGTAGCCCGGGCTAAAGGGACTTCTTTTTGAGGCTGGTGTGGAATTTCTGTCTTTGTCCTCGTACTTTCAGCCCATTCGTTGGACTACTCGCATGACCCAAAGTGGTAGCATATGTAGAAAATTGTTGCCCAACCACTGGATCTTGACAATTTGCAGAATAAGGTATATGGATAATCCACTAACTGTAAAGGTGGCTCTGACAAAATAAGAATCATGGAAAACACTATTTTACGCATGCAATTTAATAAAGCAAAATAAAATGTGATGTCATTTTTAGAGTCAGGAAAAAGGAAATTTTAATAACTTGGATTAAACTGGAGGAGGGAGGAAAGTGTACGTAAGGAAAAAAATCTGTAATTGTAATCATTTTAGATTTGAGTAAACAGGACTTTTAAAATACATCAGACCTTGTATATTTATGAATTTTATTCCTTTTCTGATATTCGTCTCGGAAGGCTAAGATCTAAAATGATTTCAGAAAACATCAAATATTTCCTATGTGCTAGATAGAATACAGCCATTAATTGTGTCAGAACTCCTGGGGAGGTGGGGATTGCTATTTGAGCCTGCTTATGAACACAGAAAAATATTCTTACAGTAGTCACTTTGGATGGGCAAAAGGACTTACCTAGTATTATTCCCTACATTTGAGAATGAATGTCTTTAGGCTCTTTCTGATAACTAGATTTACCTTTATAGGAGGAAGATTTGCAAATGTGGCAGCTATTCAGATGATTGTCAGATGGCTTCTGTGTGCAAGGCAGCAGGCTAGGTATTCTGGGGATGTTAATTCACTCATGATCTCAGCCTTTAGGGAGGTCATAGTCTAAGAGTGAGAGTAAGATGTATTTACCTCCAAAAATTAGCACATAAGATAGTGAAGGGAAGCACAAAGAATTGCTGGGGGGAGTTAAGAGACCTCCTGACTGTGCAAGTATGGTAGTTTTTTTCCCCCTTAAACAGTTAAATTTTGTAGGCATGCCTTCTTATGTTTAAATTTTTTATTTCATTGTTTTCAAGTGGGTACAATAATGAACTCTATATAATATAAAATAAGCATTGCCTAGGAGAAGCCCTAGAGGAATTTAATTATTAGATAATAAGGTTTAATAATATCTGAGTGCCTCCTGGAGAAATCAGAGGTGATTTCGGGCAAAATCCTTGCCCTTAAGTAACTTAATCTAGTAGAGATTTGAATTATTTGCTTTTAGCATATCAAATGTTGATGCTTGAAAAGAATTTTCTTAAGCAGTTTAAACATACCCTGTGATTTTATTTATATTGTTCATTTGCCTGGTAAACCTTTTCTTCATGGCTAATATAATGTAAATTTCAGCCAACTCTAAATTAATAAATTTTGATTTTTGAAGTTTTAAAGCTACTTTAAAAGATGGTATTTCATGTAACCTTGCATCCTAAAAATAGCAAGAAATACAATTCTAGAATGAAAGTGAGTTTGTTCAAAGAGCTTTCGAAGGATTTTTTTAACTTACTAGCAAGTTTTGCATTATGCTTCCTTGTAGTTATTGTTTTTTTCTGCTTTCTTAGTGTCTAATTCAATGCCCAGTGTCTAGTAGATGCTCAATAAATATATTTTAAGATGAATGTAACTTCATCGTTTGATTCTTTTGATACTTGCTACCTCAAAGTGTTTGAAAACAAGCCTATACTAAGTATATATTTATCCACACCTTCATTTCTTTCACTTGATTTTATCAATTGCTTTCTTTAGATCAGAATCAAGCTTTGCGACTCTGTCTGGGTAGCACTAGTGTTGGAGGTCAATATGGAGCCATCTCTGCCCTCAGTATCAACAATGACTGCTCACGACTTCTCTGTGGCTTTGCTAAAGGACAGGTAAATAGGAACTTTATTTTACCCGTAAGACAATGTAAAATCAATTTTAAAAAATGTATTATCTCTAGATCAGTATCTCGAAGACTAAAACGTGTTATAAAGTGACATGTCTGTAGAGCTAACCTGAGTTTGCTTAGTCTGACTTTTGTCCAAATTTTTAAATATTGACTGAGCCAGAGTCTGTGATTTTTAATATCTTAATTCATATGTCCATGTAAGTACATAGGTTTTATAAACCAACCAGGCTGTTATACAAAATTTACTTTCTTACTGTAGTGAGGATAATTGTTGTTGATTTTTAAGTACACTGTATTCTGCTTTGAGTATTCTTATTACTGTGTTCCTAGATAACTATTTTGGTATTTCTTTTCCTTCTGAAACTGGCAGTAACTTTTGTTTCTTCTCTTCTTCTGACATATTAATTGGTTTGGCAGTAAGCCTTTCTATAATTTTTACCAGTGCTAAAGAGATTGACTCATTAAAGAAATTTCTTTTACCTCTCAGTAAAACAACAAGATTTAAAATCTGAAGGGAAAAGTAGGTTGGGCAGGATGAGGGGAGGATGAAGATGAAATAAAGGCCCCATGCTTTAGTGGATCTGCAACCTTTAGTTATGTTTTAACTTTATAGTTCTTTGTCTGCAATGTTTATAGACCAGGAATAGATTATTTCAGCCAAAAGCCAGGATACTTAAGTCCAAAAAAGAGCAATAAATTTGTTTTTAAAGCATTTAGTTGTCTTATAGATCACTATGTGGGATTTGGCCAGTGGAAAACTTCTAAGATCAATAACAGATGCTCATCCTCCAGGAACAGCAATATTGCATATTAAGGTAAAGTCCTTATTTTCTTTTTCTAATAATCTTTATTATTATGCCTTTGTATCCATTTTTAAGTAGATTTCTTTATAAACAGAATCCTTGAAAGTGAACTGTCTTTTATTTGACTGGCCCAACAAGATGTTTTCCCAAGTTAAAACCAGAGATGGGCTGGCATGGTAACATTCAGCTATAAGTTGTATTGAAGTCTAGTAGATATAGCAGGAAAGAGAGTAAATTGATGTGATCCTGGATGAAAGCCTGGCAGCAAAGACAGGCAGTACCCTACTGAAAACCCATGTGCAGATTTTAAAAGGTCTTTTTACTTTGTTTAGTCCGCCAGGATTTTATTGCTGAGGCGGTGTGCTCTGTCACACTTTGTTGGGAATTACCTGAAGTTCAAGGCACCAATTGTGAAAGAACCAAGCTTTGCATTATGTTTAGAAACAAATCTGTTGGTTTATTTTCTTTCAGGCCTCCAAAGGAAAAGCATCAAGATTTGAATCTTGGCTTTCTCCTTACATGCCTGAAAATAATAAACCAACTTAGGTAACAGATTTCATTTATAAATGCAATGCGAACCTTGGTTTTTGTATGCTGTCAAGCCCATGTTCAGAAGTATAAAATGTACAGGACTATAACTAAGGAAGTCTAAAATCAGATCTTCTGGATTTTAACCATGTACACATTTGGTTACTTAGCTGTGCAGACCTCTCTTATCCATACACATTCTTTTTAAAATCTGGTAGCATCTGGAGTCTATGTGTCTGCATCTCGGTTAGTTACATAAAAGTCTTTTGTGACAAAGCAGCATTGAAGCTTTTAGTTACAATGAAAACAACCAAGACAAGTAAAAGTAGAGAGAATTTCTCCTCTTTCTGAACATCGTGGCAGTTTATTTTGACCTCTTTTCATATGGCATGAGCCAACCTCTAGTATGTTGTAGTTGTTTGTGTTATGTCTTATCTCCTTTAGTAGATTGAGATCTTTGAAACCAGGATCTATTTCTCTTTAATTTTTGTGTGTTACATGTAGTAGCACATTACAATAAACAGTGCTCAATAAATGTTTGGTTGGTTGTTTATAAAAGTCTAGTCCATTTGCAGAAAAATGCAAAATCTTTGGGAGAAGCAATAGGAAACAAGAGATAAAGGCAGAGAGAAAAAGGCAGAAGAATGCAGCTAACGTTAAAAGCAGACTAGTAGTGGACGTTGTGTTTCTTGGGAATGGTGATAAGTGCAGACACTGACTTTACTTCTGAGGTCTTCCATTGACAACGGCTACTTGTGCTTCAAACCTCTTACTCGTTGTTCTCCAGACTTAACCCTACACATCCCATCAATAACACTTTGGGCTTTAATTCATTTATATATACATATGTGTGTGTGTGTGTGTGTGTGTGTGTGTGTGTGTGTGTGTGTGTATATATATTTATTTATTTAAAAATTATTTAAATATATTAGTGTACTATATTTAAGTACATTATAAAACACATACACAAGAAGTAGAAAATTAATAAATAAAATCATGAGTGCTATTATTTTCCCTACACTCCACTTTGGCAACTACTCATCTAGGCCTTGAGAACAAAGGTGTAGGACTTCTTTACCCGTGTGTGGGGTTGAGGAAGAATAATTTCACAATAGCCTCCTGTACCTCAACCATCCCTGAAGAGCACAAAGGCATGAGATTTAGGATGGTTTTACAAACCTCTGTGGTTAGGGAGACTAGTCACTGTAAGTGATACAAATTAAGTTATTCAATTTTGTATCTTACAACACTCATATCTACCATACCGCATAAGCCCTTAGGACCATCTGTCATTCTGAACATTATTTATTATTTGAGTTTTCCAGGGTAGATAATAATAACTGAAGGTATACTCTGTCGAAGAAGATTGAGGGGGCAGCACGTTTTAGGAAGAGTTACATAAAAAGTTAAACTGTTTTACATGTAGTGGATTAACTCTTCAGTTATTGGAAAACATATTCCAATAAGTTTATTTCCCAAAGACACAAAATATCTTTCACTGTGTCTTTATTCTTGAAAGCTAGGCAACTGCAAATGTATCCAGAGTATCCTATTTAGCTTAATAGCAAGTTAGAAAAAATTAATGTAAGAACCTAAGTAGAGAACTTTAGGGCTTTTATGAGTCATAGTTTGTATTTTTCTTTTATCCTGATGAAAGGTGGTTTTTGCTTTTTTTAAAGCCTCATTTTTTTAAAGATATTGAGCCATTTTTATTCCAAATATGGGTAAGTTTGTATGTTTAGAGTACTGAGGTAGATATAGTTTAGGTGATTTCAAATGCTATTAAATGTGTTTGTCTTAGATTTTGTAATTTTTCCCCTTACCTTTTTAATACTTGATTAGTTGTCTGAAAATGTATAAGAAAATAAATTCCTTCTCTGTTTAGTTTACAGATGATCCAACTCTTGCAGTTTGCAATGACAGCGGAGGCTCTGTTTTTGAATTGACATTTAAGTAAGAGACTAATGGACATTTGTAGACAAATGAAAAGATTAGCTCCAGTTTAATGACTTGAAGTTGAATATGAAGAGGTCTGGAAAACCCATGTGATTGGAAATAGCTTGTGGCTGTGTATTACACTTAACCTGGGGGGGCTTATAGAACATACAGAGCACCAGGCCTCCCCCCCCCCCACAATTCTATTGCAGTAGGTCCGAGATAGGATTCTAGACTCCTACTCCCCAGAGTATTCATAAGCTCTGTCAATCTTGGGAACCATTATTCTGGAGTATCTCACTAATTTCCGTTTAGGCCCCAGGCCCAGTTGATTATAACCATAATGGCCAGGTGTAGAAAGGTTTTTATTGCCTTGGCATTGCCCTGTTTACTCTTTAAATAAGAGGAAAGACTATTTAGATACATGGAAGAACATTTACAAACCTGAGTTTAAAAAAAAGTAGAACAAAAAATTCAATGTGTATTATATTTCCATATGCTCTTCAAAGTAAGGACTATGTTTCTTGTATTTCTCATACCTTCTAACAATGTTGAGCCCAAAGTAATTGCTTAAAAAATACTGTAGATTTATTTAGCTAACGTTTATTGAGCATCTCCTATGTGTAGGCATTGTTCTAGACCCCAGAGTTACAGCTATGAACCAGGCAAGGTTGCTACTCCAATAGAACTTACATTCTAGTTGGGTCGGGGGTAGGGAGACACAATAAACCAATGCATAAATGAAATAACTGTAGATAGTTATGAGTACTGTGAAAAAAATAAAACAGGTCAGTGTGCTGGAGTACATTTGAGTATAATTTAGTAAGGCTTCTCTCCGAAGGTGACATTTGAGCAAAGACCTGAATAACAATCTGGTCAACAAGTGGAAAGATATAGGAGAAGTGTTCCAGGCAGAGGGATGTTCAAGCACAGAGCCTTTGAGGTGGGCACAGCATGGCATGCTGGAGCAGTGGAGAGAAAGCAGGTGTGGCTGGAGCATGCGTTTGTCAGGAGCAACAGTAGTGGGAGAGGAGTGAAGGCACGAGCCAGATCACATAGGACCTTTTAAACATGGTGAAGAGTGGATTTTATTTTATGTACAGTGGCAAGCCATTGGAGATTTTTTAGGAGAAGGGTGATAAATCTGACCCACACATTAAAAATGACATGCTGATGTCATGTGGAGTTTGGATTGTTGGGGGCAGGAGTAACAATTGTTGGATTGTTAGGAGGCTTTTGTAGTAGGCCACGCTAGGGCTATAGCGCCTTGGAGCATTGCTAAGTTGATCTGACATTTTTTGGTTACATTTTCAGGAGAGTGATGGGAGTGAGGACATGTGAATCTAGATGCCTGTTTAGTGGTTCCAAGGGTGAAGTTTGCTGTATTGAGCCTCTCCATTCTAAGCCCGAGTTGAAAGATCATCCCATCACACAGTTTTCCTTACTGGCCATGGCATCCTTAACAAAGGTAGGTATATTTAGAAGATGAAGCTCATAACTCTAGAGGCTTTGAATACCAAAAATTTGAAAATTGCAGGGTAAATATTAAAATGTATTTTTTCCCCTAAAGATACTGGTCATTGGATTGAAGCCATCCTTGAAAGTGTGGATGACTTTTCCTTATGGACGGGTAAGTAAGCCTCTCCGTCTTATTGGTAAAAAGACCATGTCAGGAGATTGGGGAGAATGACTTGCAAGTGGCACATTCTGTGAGGTTGTCAGAAAACTAGGTAGAATGGAAATCAGTGCTGCAAAGGTCACTGTCTGATTACCTTGATGTGACCAAAGCAGCATAAGCTGGTGACTACAGCAGTAACCTGGGGATCACAAGATCTGTACTTTTCTACCTTTATTCTGTTAAGTTTTTCTCTCACGAACAGCTGCCGCTTTGATAATGAACTGCTGATAGAGAACACCCCACCGTGATACCCAGCATGAATTGCTGCTGCATACGCTTTCCTTGGCTTCTTCTGCCTCTGATATTTTACTTTGGGGGATGATACTTCTCAGAATGTATTACGCACACCTCAATTTCCCTTTTCTTTTTCCTGATTGGTTGTTTTCAAAGAGTTGTATTCTTCCAGTGTGTATATGAGGAGAGGCATTGATGGGATGGGATGGGATGGAGAATGATGGTGCAGAACGAAGACTGGTTCAGAAAGTAGCCTCTGTAATGAGGGAGCTCACTCTTCTGTTTTCTTGTTGGTACTCGGTGTATCTTTGGACCCCAGGGGAAGCAGGTCTGCCCTTTCAGCTGGCAAAGCTGGCTTATATTGCCATTAACAGTTCTTAGGTGAGCTTCATTGGCTAATTGAGATTTACCATGGTAGTATGTGTTTACATCTTTTTGTATGTTTTTATTGGTGTTTTTTCCAACATTTTATTATGAACATTTTCAAACAAATAGAGAAGTTGAAAGAATTTTACATTGAACATCTATATACTTACCATTGTAAAACTCTACCGTTAGCATTTTATTGTATTTTATTATATACCTGTTTGTGCACCCATCAAATTATGTTCTTTTTAAATGTATTTCCAAGTAAATTACAGAAATTAGTACTCTTTTTTCCTAAATATTCAACATGCATATGATTAAGTACAGTTCAGTATTTGTTGAAGTTTTTCCTTTGGTGTAACAATTTACATACAACAAATGTACAGATCTTGAGTGTACATTTGCTGAACTTTGACAAGATGTATGTACTTTTGTAATCCAGACCTCTGTCAAGATGTGGAACATTACCATCCACACAGAAAGTTCCCTCATGACACTTCCCAGTCAGTCCCTGCTCCTTTGGAATTGATTGATTGATTGATTGATTGGCTGCATTGGGTCTTTGTTGCTGCTTGCCGTCTTTTCTCTAGTTGCAGTGAGCGGGGGCTACTCTTCATTGTGGTGCATGTGCGTCTCATTGCGGTGGCTTCTCTTGTTGCAGAGCATGGGCTCTATAGACGCACGGGCTTCAGTAGTTGTGGCGCATGGGCTTCAGTAGTTGTGGCTCGCGGGCTCTAGAGCGCAGGCTCAGTAGTTGCGGCGCACAGGCTTAGTTGCTCCGCGGCATGTGGGATTTTCCCGGACCAGGGCTTGAACCCGTGTCCCCTGCATTGGCAGGCAGATTCTTAACCACTGCGCCACCAGGGGAAGTCCCTCCTTTAGGAATTTTAATAAGAAATTAGGAGAAGTTTTATCAAGGAACACCAGTCAGATGCTGTTGTAAACCAGAGTTTTCCCTTTGTTTTTCTGTGTGTTAACAGTGATGACTTTTTTTTTCCCTTCTCCTCACTTAGATGGATCCTTCCAGTGTTCCATTGCTGGCCTGGCACTTCGTGGCAGTGCATAATTATGTGAATCCCATGCTTGCCTTCTGCAGAGGAGATGTTGTTCATTTTCTACTGGTAAGTCCTAATATGATGCTAGATCTGTGGTAAAGTCCTTTATCATAAGATTATTTTTTTGATTCACCAGTAATTTAATATTGTGTCAAAGAAATATGCTATCATAATTCTTTGGAGAGAGAGTGACCTATTTAATGTTTATTCGAGGCTTTAGTGGTTAACATGGAAAACAGATGATCACCCTCAGCTCCATGCCTCTTCATGGTATATTTCTCAGTTCCATCTCCTTTGACTAATAAATAATTGATGGTTTATGTGTACGTATACATATATAAATGTACATAGGTCTGTATTAATGGCTTACCTATCTACATATAGTGTATTTATTAGACAGCAAGTTATCATTGAGCACATACTATGTTATCTACACTGTAATGGACATGAGGCAGTTGAAAGCAGTGTAAAACTTAACTCCTTCTTTCACATAGTTTAAGATATGTTTTGAAAGGCAAAACCAGTATGTTCATTACTACTAGTGAGAACAGTTTAAGGATTCAAGTGTGTGATGAGAATTTAAAAATCGCTATAAGTTCAGAGTATGAAGAGATTTGTACAGACTAAAGAGGATGTGGAAGACTTCATGAAGGATATAAGGCAGATACTAGGGACTTCCCTGGTGGCGCAGTGGTTAAGAATCTGCCAGCCAATGCAGGGGACACGGGTTCGAGCCCTGGTCCAGGAAGATCCCACATGGCGCAGAGCAACTAAGCCCCTGCGCCACAACTACTGAGTCTTCGCTCTAGAGCCTACAAGCCACAGCTACTGAGCCTGTGTGCTACAACTACTGAAGCCCATGCACCTAGAGCCTGTGCTCCAGAACAAAGACAAGCCACCGCAATGAGAAACCCGCGCACTGCAATGAAGAGTAGCCCCAGCTCGTCGCAACTAGAGAAAGCCTGTGCGCAGCAATGAAGACCCAACACAGCCAAAAATAAATAAATAAATGAATTTATAAAAAAAACAAAAAACAAAAAAAGGCAAATACTACAGGAGGGGTGAATATGCATATTGGGGAAAATAAGATGAACTGAAGTTATAGAGGTAAGAATGTGCCTACGGAATCTCTTCTTGGGTTTCCTAGCTCAGTGAAGCAAGTATACCACTATCCACCTAGTTTCTCCAGCCAGAAATCTAGGAGTTGCCTTTCAGTTACACTTCTCCCTTTATTTCTACTCTATCACACATCTGTTGACTCTGAGTATACTTCCTCTTTGTCTCCCCCATTGCTGCTTCCCACTGACATCTCTAGCCTAGGCTCTGGAGTAGCTTCCTGACTAGTCTTTGGCCTCAGTGTCTTTTTTTTTTTTTTTAATTGAAGTATAGTTGATTGACAGTGTTGAGTTAGTTTTTGGTGTACAGCAAAGTGATTTGGTTTTTATACACACACACACACACACACACATTCTTTTTCAGATTATTTTCCATTATAGATTATTATTAGATACCGAATATAATTCCCTGTGCTGTGCGGTGGGACCTTGTTGTTTATTTTACATAGAGTAGTTTGTAGCTGCTAATCCCAAACTCCTAATTTATCCCTCCCCCTCCTTTCCCCTTTGGTAACCATAAGTTTGTTTTCTATGTCTGTGAGCCTGTTTCTGTTTTGAAAATAAGTTCATTTGTATCATTTTTTTAGATTCCAGATATAAGCATATAAGCACATATAACTGACTTACTTCACTTAGTACGATAATCTCTAGGTCCATCCATGTTGCTGCAAATAGCATTATTTCATTCTTTTTTGTGGCTGAATAGTATTCTGTTGTATGTATGTATGTGTGTGTGTGTGTGTGTGTGTGTGTGTATACATGTATATTTATACACCGCATTTTCTTTATCCATTCCTCTGTCAACGGACATTTAGGTTGCTTCCATGTCTTTGGCCTCGGTGTCTTTACATATGCCAACACCTCTGCCAGGAAAGCTGTGTGCTCTCTTCCACATTATACTGGCTCATGATTAGCATTGCCTTTCCTGACCTCCTGACCTCGGTTAGCATTTCCCACTTCATAGACACCGATAAGACCTTTTTTGACAACACTCAGCATTTTTAAAATTATTTATCTAATATTTTTTTTCCTCACTAGACTGAAAGCTCTGTAAGTCTAAAACCAACTCTACTGCTCTATTCCACCCACTAGGACAGTGCTTGTATGTAGGAAGTCCCTAATAAATATTTATAGAGTTAATGACAGGGAGAAACTTATTGTTGAGAATAAAGTTGAACATACGGCATGGATCTTGATTAGGGGTTGGCAGACTGTGGCCTATGGGCCAGATCTGGCTGGCTGCTTGTTTTTGTAAAGTTTTATTGAATACAGTCATGCCCATTCGGTTATGTATTATTTATGGCTGCTTTTGCACTACTGTGGCAGAGTTGAGTAGTCGTGACAGAGACTGTATGCTCTGTAGAGCCTAAAATACTTACTGTATGGCCTTTTACAGAAAAAGTTTGCCAACCTCTGATCTAGATTATATAATAATTGACCTAGATTGGTAATGGGGAGCCATCACAGGTTCTTAGGTAATTAAAGTGATGTGATTAAAGTGATGTTTTAGGAAGATCACTGTAGAAATAGTAAAAAGAACAGATTATAGGAGGTTGGAGGGAACGGAAAGGTTTTGCTTTTGTAATAAAGCAAGTGTGACGTCTTTAGACAAGGATGGTTGGTTGCAGTGAGAGTTAGGGATGGCATTTTGAAGGAAAGACGAGGTTTCTCATCTTAGTGGATCTGGGGACCGAAGGACATAAACAAAACGTTGCATTTCTGGCTTTGCATTTTAGAAGCATGAAATATTCAATGAGTTAGGGTCAGGGAAGAATTGAGTGTGTTGGGTTGGAAGTGAAGGTGAGACTCTCAAATGTTGTATTGGGGAATGTCCTCTGGGAGGATAGGCAGTCCAGGTCTGGGGTGAAAATGAGAATTCCAGAATAGAGAAGGTAGTTGAAGCTGTGAAAATCAAAAGCGAAAGCATACATAACCTTGTTGGACACTCATGTAGGGGAAAGGAAAAAGAAAAGACAGTAGGAAAGGAGGATCTTACAAAGGCATCTAGAAGTAGGAGGGGAAATAGACCAGTATGGCATCACAGAAGATGAAGAAGGAGAGGCTTCAGCACATTATCAATTCCAGGGTAATACCAATGCCAAAGAGAGATCAAGAAAGAAGACTGAAGATAAGGCCACCAGATATGCAAGAAGTAGTTCTTTAGAAACTTTTCAGAGGACTAATTATCAGTGGAATTGAGGTGGAAGCTAGATTATAGAGCCTTGTTAGAGAAATGAGTATCTAGAAGAACAGACTCACACAATCATAGTACAGCATTTGGTTACAAGAGGAAAAAGAATAGTTAACTTTCTGGAAGAAGTAAATGAAGGGAAGGTGTTTTGCTTTTGTTTTTTGAAGGTGGAAAAGTCAGAAACCTGTTTGATAGCAAGAGGAAAAAGGTCCTTTGAAAGGAGTGACTGAGTATGTTAGCAGGGGAGGGGTAATATTAAACAGTAATGGAGGGAGTAGGATTTAGAGTATATACACGTGAAGTGATTTTGTTTAGCAAGGACCTTAGCCAATCTTAGAATAGTTAATGTTGGCATTGACCTTTTTGTTTACGAAACACTTTCAACATATGCAAGATATGGAACAATTTGGTGCTTATTTTCATTTTACAAATGAGGAAACTGAAAGAATAAATGGTTTACTCTTGGTGACTCAGCTGTAATAGTGGAACTTACTCTTAAACACATAGCTGTAGATCTTATGCTCCTTTTTACCAGAGCATTCTTTCTTACAGGGGAGGTGACTTAGGAAGTGAAGATGGGAGTACACAAAGGGCTCACACTAAATGGTCTCAGTTGTTTGTTAAGATATCTGGTGAGGTCAACACTACAAGTGTTGGGACTAGAAGGCAAAGAGGAATTGTGACTTAAAGGGAAAGGAAGACATCTAGAAGACGACTGTGGAGAGTATGCAAGAAAACCCAGGTTGAATTAAACGTCATGAATTTCAGGCAGGTCATTGTGGTGTGTTGTTCTTCTTCAGTGCTCTGTCACCTTGGAGCATAAGTGGAGAGAGCAAATTATAAGGACGATTGAAGATTATAGAGAGTACATATATGCATATATAAGTAAAATATTGACACTTGAGGTTCTTTTGGGAACTTTTGGGCTGTTTGAGCTATAATAGTATCATACTTCACCCAAAGAAGTCTAGTCTTGTCACTGCAGCAGTTTTTTTTCTTTTCATGAACTTTTGTTTTACTTTTTTACATTATGCCACCAATCCCATTTTATGCTTTAACTCTGGCTAAATAGTCATTGACGTGATGCAGTTAGGTTTTTCTGAATTATGACAGAGTGAATATTACATACAGCATTTGCCTGTACAGACTTACCCCAGGGATATTGTGGGTTCAGTTTCAGACCACTGCAATAAAGCAAATATTGCAATAAAGTGAGTCACATAAGTTGTTTGGTTTCCAAGTGCGTATAAAACTTATGTTTACACTATACTGTAGTCTTTTAAGTGTGCAATAGCATTATCTCTAAAAAAAACCAATGTACATACCTTAATTTAAAAATACTTCATTGCTAAAAAATGCCAAAACAATTACAATATTAACATCAAAGATCACTGATCACAGATTACTATAACAATACAATAATAATGAAAAAGTTTGAAGTGTTGCAAGAATTACCAAAATGTGGCACAGAGACATGAAGTGAGCAAATGTTGTTGGAAAAATGGTGCTGATAGATTGATTGACACAGGGTTGCCACAAACCTTCAGTTTGTAAAACACACAATATCTGGAAGCACAATAAAGTGAAGTGCAATAAAACAAGGTATGCCTAAACTGACAGCTAGACCACTGACCAGGTGTACTATGGATTTTGGTACAAATCATGATGTGAATGATTTTTTTCATTTGTATAGTTTCTTTAATTATCAATATTTTTGTTTTATCCATATTCTGAATGGAAATCATTTTCTAGGTGGATTGACTAGGTGAGACTTTAAAACGTCTCTCAAACAATAGCTGATATTTAGGTTGTTTTTATTTCATCATCAGGTTAAGAGAGACGAATCTGGAGCAATACATGTTACTAAGCAAAAGCACCTTCACCTATACTATGACCTCATCAACTTTACTGTGAGTATTATTGAAATGAAATATCCCCGTTCATTTTATGTAATTGGTTTGAGTCCATGTTGTATTAAGGCTACCAGGATTTCTGCCATAAATCATGACCTTTAGGATTATATAAAATGTGGACAGAAGTGAAGTCCTGGGCTTCCCTGTGGTGCAGTGGTTAAGAATCCGCCTGCCAATGCAGGGTACACGGGTTCGAGCTCTGGTCCAGGAAGATCCCACATGCCGCTGAGTGACTAAGCCCCTGTGCCACAACTACTGAGCCTGTGCTCCGCAACAAGAGAAGCCACCGCAATGAGAAGCCCGTGCACCGCAATAAAGAGTAGCCCCCACTCGCTGCAACTAGAGAAAGCCCGCGTGCAGCAATGAAGACCCAACGCAGCCAAAAGTAAATAAATTTTTTAAAAAAGTTAAATCCTGCTTGTACTGAATAAAGTCTGAGGCTGGTGTGATGCCACATTATTTTTATTGCCTTTTAGCCTCATGTCCTGCTGAACACTGGCAGGATCAGTAAAAGTTTTCTTTAATGTCCTGATTAGCTCAAAGGGGAGATCAGAATCATTTCTTCAGGATCATTGCCAGGCTTTCTTTGTTAACACATTTTTGTACTTCTGAGTATGTCCTAATTGGTTCAGGAGTTCAGGAGCTATTCTTTATCTGTGGCTGAAAACTTTTCAGAGCTCTGTCTCTACTATGCATCTCAGTCCTGAGCAACTTGTGGTTTAAAAAAAAGATTATTTCTTTTTGCATCAGTTTTTATAATAGATGATTTATTAATTTATTTGCACATTGCCTTTCAATCTCATATACAGACTTGATTTAGAAATAATACTTTTTTTCATACACATTTCATGAAATAATTTTGTTCAACCTCTTCTCATGTGTATAAGGCATCAGTGTTTTTGTCAACAAGGGTTTCAACAAGAACCCCTTGTTGAAAATCATCTAACACAGTTTTCTAGAATTCATCATCATTGCTTCCATTTAAGATGTTTGAGATACAGCACTTTAAAAATCTGCATATGATTCTGTCCCTGGAAAAAATTTTCCCAACCACAGGTAGCCATTCTCCTAATAGTAGGACAGTTGGTGTTTTTCATTTGTCCTGTGGCTTATTCATGATGTGACCCCTAACTGCATTGCTTTGTAAATTACCTTTAAAAGGCTTGTTTACAATGTGTCAACACTTAAAATTGTGAGGATCTAATCCCAAGAATAATTGCTAATCCTGCTAACATTTTTTGTCATTCTTTCTCTTTTAACCAGGTGACCTTTGAAAACGCCTAAAAACTAGCACTAAGTTTATACAGGGCTGAATAATGTGTCTTTCCTAAATGATACTTTGTTTCTCAAAGTAAAGTAATCAACAGAGCACCTTACAAAAGCTCTTTGTAAATGATTTGAGTGTCAAACTCTGTTTCCTGAGGGACAGTTTTTTTTTGGAAAACCAAACCCTTCCTGTGTAACACAGGGTTAAAGTATATATTCAACATAGTTAAAAGAAAATTGATCCATTTTCAACTTGATTGTATGATATTATGCAAATAATTTCTGATAACATAGGAAGAGTTCATATAAATAAACCAAAATGAATACCAGAGAGAGAAAGTACAGGGGAAGTACTTTGTTCTGGTTAATTTAGAATTCTAATTGAGCAGATTTTAAGACTTCATTTATTTCTTGGGAAGGGATTGAGATTTTTCAAAAAAATATTTTGGGGCTTCCCTCGTGGCGCAGTGGTTGAGAGTCCACCTGCCGATGTAGGTGACACGGGTTCGTGCCCCGGTCCGGGAAGATCCCACGTGCCACGGAGCGGCTGGGCCCGTGAGCCAAGGCCGCTGAGCCTGCGTGTCCGGAGCCTGTGCTCCGCAACAGGAGAGGCCGCAACAGTGAGAGGCCCGCGTACCACCAAAAAAAAAAAAAAAATTTTGAAAATAAGAAATCTTATATATAACCCAAGAAATTTATCAAAATGGTATCCTTCAGAAGATTTTAACATTATTATTGTTATTACTTTTAATATTATAATAGTACTAATTAAAGAATATTCAGAATATATAGAGAAATAGAAAGAGCAAAGAACTCTGCCATAATTTGTAGGTATGTTTTAAAGGAAATATATATTTTAAATAGCTTGTATTTTTAAATATGAATTACTTAAATGGTAACAATCATTCTTTGACCAGATAGGTTTATGAGGTTTCATTTGCCCTTTTGTTTGATTAATGTCAAAAACACTAGAAATGCAAAGTTGGTCACTTTGCTTAAGTCATTTTGCTGATGTACCTTTCAAAAACATTGATAAAAAACAGTATATCCCATAATATCTATTAGAGCTCTTAATTAGCCTTCTTTTACACTATGAGTCATTTTAACACCATCAAAACTCAGTACTACGCTGTGCACCTGTCGTTCTCTGGGTTGTCACCAAGTAGTTCTTGCTGTGATTGTGGTGTCATCAAGTTATTAATTAAATGGATAAGGTCGTCAGTGTCATTTAAGTGAGTTGCCAAGCTCTTTTGCCCTGGATGATGGTGTGGATGGGCCTCACTTTTGTGTTGTTGTGTGCTTGAATTACAGTGGATAAACTCACGCACGATTGTGCTCTTGGACAGTGTAGAGAAGTTGCATGTGATTGATCGGCAAACTCAAGAGGAATTGGAAATGGTGGAGATCTCAGAAGTTCAGTTGGTCTATAACAGCAGCCATTTCAAATCTCTAGCCACTGGAGGAAACGTGAGCCAGGCACTGGTAAGGGTAATCCATTATCTTAGTATTGCTTTGATAAACTTGGTATTTTGTTGTTGTTTTGTTTTAGAAATAGGAATTCTGAGGAGTTATCTTTAAGTCTTGAGATTTTTTTTTTAAAAGCCACTAACTGGGTTGAAGTGGATGTGAGTGTGTTTGTAAGTATTCAGGAATGTGAACTAGAACAATAATTCCTGTTGTCTTCTACTTGGAAATGTGACTAATTTAATACCAAAGAATTTTAACTTTCATACTGAAATAATGAAATGAAATTGAAAGTTCATGAGAAAGAAATTGTAAAAGCAAGGTATTTTAGAAAGTTTATTATGTTGACAACAAGCCTGATAGATTTAAGGAATAAATGACTAGAGAGACAGGTAGCCTGTAAGGCTTTGGAAATATCTGGGTGATTAGTAAAGGCTGGAACAGGTATGGAGGCTGTAGCCATTAAAAGGCAAAGATCGCTTTGAGAGAAAGAAAGATGATTCTGGAGGAATAGGAAATAGATGAAATGTAGGAGCCTGCAGAGAAGGAAGACACAAAAGTTATGATCTTAGTATTAATTTTACTATATTTTAAGCAGTGACAATAATGACCTTTAGCAGTTTACACAGGTAGTTAACAGTTAAATTACTTTGAATTGTGATCTCATGTTTCCTAAGCCAATAATCTTTAAGCAGGAAATTTAGACTTTTTGAGTCTTCTCTGGATAATTTCTTGAAAAAAGTAGTAATGAAGGTCATATATAATGAGTGTCTGCAGTATAATATCTAGCCATTACTCAAATCTCCCTGAGATATTAGAGCATAACTATATGTGAAAGGGTCTTCCATATATATTTTCAGAATTTAGAAACCAGGAAAATCCAGGAGAAGAAATGGTAATGCAGTAGAATTCACTAAAGTAAGAGTACTTATTGTCCCACACTTAGATATTTTCTTTTGTCTGAGTGGTTATTAAAAATACTGATAGACTTTGAACTTGCACTTTCAGCCAAGATGGAATAATGGGGACTGGATTTACTCTCCTGTCTGGAAAAAATCAGGAAAAAAACCCCAAAACAAAAAACAATAGTTTTCAAGATATTAGTGAACTTGAAGATAGAGCAATAGAATCTATCCAAAATGAAGTAGAGAGAAGAAATTTAAAAAACACTAGTGTTAGTGACTGCAGTGAGACAGCACCACTTAGCCTAATAAATGTGTAGTTGAAATCTCTGAAGGAGAGGAGGGAAAATAATTTAAAGAAATAATGGTCAAAAACTTTCCTAAACTATAAACACAGAATTGCAAGAAGCTCAGTGAACCCAAGCACAAGTAAAATAAACATAGATTGATCCAAATGAATTGGAAAGAGGAAAATATTAAAGCAGGCAGAGTAAAAAGACACATTAAATGCAGAGGAGCAACAACAAGTGTGAGAGCAGATTTCTCATCAGAAACAAACTGCAGCAGTCTCCAAAGAAGATATACAAATGGCCAATAAGCAGATGACAAGATGCTCAACATCATTAATCATTAGGGAAATGCAAATCAAAATCACAGTGAGATATCATTTCATGCCCACTAGGATGGCTATAATCAAAAAGACAGACAATAACAAATGTTGATTAGGATGCAGAAATATTGGAACTCTCGTACTTTCCTTGTGGGTTATGGTGCAGCCACTGTGGAAAACATTTTGGCAGTTCCTCAAAATATTAAACATAAAGATTCCATATGACTGAGCGATTCTACTCCTAGGTAGCTACTCAAGTGAAACGAAAACATATCTCTGCATAAACACTTGTACACAAATGTTCATAGCAACGTTATTCTTAATAGCTAAAAAGTCAAAACAGTCCACTAGCTGATAGATAAACAAAATGTGGCATATCTGCGTAATAGAATGCTGTTCCTCAATAAAAAAGGTGAACTGTTGACACATGCTACAACATGGATGAACCTCAAAAATACTGTGTTAAGTGAAAGAAGCCATATGGAAAGACCATATACTCTTTGATTATATTTATATGAAATGTCCAGAAAAGGCAGGTTTAGAGAGCCAGATGTGGATTAGTGGGGCTGGGACCAGGAGTAGGAATGAGGGTTGACTGGAAATAGGTAAAAGGTATCTCTGTGGAGTGATGGAAATGTTCTAAAACTGGATTTTGGTGATGGTCGAACAACTGTAAATTTACTAAAAATTATTGTATACTTAATGAGTGAATTTTATGGTATGTAAATTATACCTTAATACTGTCATTTAACAAGAGCAGTTGACTGTTTAAAACAAAAGGAATGTTTATGATATGTAGAAGTAATAGTGTGACGAAAATAGTACATAACAGCAGGGAGTGGGGGGAAGGAAGTATATTATTGTTAGGTTGTTAACATTATATATCAAATAGTACAATATTATGTAAATATAGACTGACAGTTAAAGCTGCATATTGTAAACACTAGAGCAGTCACTGAAAAAGAAGTATACCTTTATAAGTCACTGGTAGCAACAAAATGGAATGTTAAAAAATATTAAATTCAACAAAGCATAAAAAAAGAAGAGGTAATACAAGTAGAAAACAATAAGATAATCTAAACCCAACTATATCAATAATTATAGGAAATGGAAGTAGTCTAAACATTTCAGTTAAAAGGCAAGAATTGTCAGACTGGATAAAAAAAGCAAGAACCAACTATATGCTGTCTACAAAAAGTTCATATTAAATACAGAGACACAGACAAGTTAAAAGTAAGGGGAAGGAAAAAGACATATCATGCAAACACTAATCATTAGAATGGCTATTTTAATATCAGATTAAGTAGATTTCAGAGTAGAGAATATTGTCAGAGATAAAGAGAAATTTCAAATTGATAAAAAAGTGTTAATTTGTCAAGAAGGCATAACAATCTTAAAGGTTTAAGCACCCAATAACAGACCTTCAAAATATATGAAACTAAAACTAACAGATCTAAAAGGAGAAACAGACAAGTCCACAATTAGAGTTTGGAAATTTCAAAACTCCTTTATCAGTAAGTAATAGAATTAGTAGACAAAACCATCAAGCGTATAGAAGGCAAAAAATCATTGACCAACTTGACTTAACTGACATTTATAGAATATTCCACCCAACAAAAGCAAATTACAAACTTTTTCAAGTGCACATGGAGCATCCAATAGATTGTATGCTAGGCCATAAAACAAACTACAGCAAATTGTTGAAGGAATCATCAGGGTAAATCTGGAGAAAACCCAAATATTTGGAAATTAAGTAACACTTTTATAAATAACCTATGAGTCAAAGAAGAAATCTCAAAGGAAATTAGAATATATTTTGAACTAAACGAAAGTGAAAATACAGCATATCAAACAGCTGTGGTCTCAAACAGCTCATACCGCTCAATATCAAAAAAACGAACAACCCAATCAAAAAATGGGCAGAAGATCTAAAAAGGCATTTCTCCAAAGAAGACCTACAGATGGGCAATAGGCACATGAAAAGATGCTCAACATTGCTAATTATTAGAGAAATGCAAATCAAAACTACAATGAGGTATCACCTCACACCAGTCAGAATGGCCATCATCAAAACCTCTACAAATAATAAATGCTGGAGAGGGTGTGAAGGAAAAGGAACCTTCCTGCGCTGTTTGTGGGAATGTAAATTGGCACAGCTACAGGATGGAGGTTCCTTAAAAAACTAAAAATAGAATTACCATATGATCCAATGATCCCACTCCTGGGCATATATCTGGACAAAACTATAATTCAAAAAGATGCATGCACCCTAATGTTCATAGAAGCACTATTTATAATATCCAAGACATGGAAGCAACCTAAATGTCCATCGACAGATGAATGGATAAGGAAGATGGGGTGTATACATGGAATATTACCCAGCCATAAAAAGAATGAAATAATGCAGCAACATGGATGGACCTAGAGATTATCATACTGACTGAAGTAAACCAGAGAAAGGCAGATATCATGATATCACTTGTATGTGCAATCTAAACAAATGATACAAATGAACTTGTTTATAAGACAGACTCATAGACATACAAAACAAACTTATGGTTACCAAAGGGGAAAGAGGGGGACGGATAATTAGGAGTTTGGGATTAACATATAAACACTACCATATGTAAAATAGATAACCAACAAGGACCTACTGTATAGCACAGGGAACTATACTCAATATCTTTTAATAATCTATAAGGGAAAGGAATCTGAAAAAGAATATATATTTATGTATAACTGAATCACTTTGCTGTAGACTTGAAACTAACGCAACATTGTAAATCAGCTGTATTTCAGAAAAAAATTGTGGTCTATAATTAAATTAATTTTGAGGGTGTGGGACTTCCCTGGTGGTGCAGTGGTTAAGAACCCTCCTGCCAATGCAGGGGACACGGGTTCCATCCCTGGTCAGGGAAAATCCCACATGCCATGGAGCAACTAAGCCCGTGTGCCCTAGAGCCCGTGTGCTGCAACCAGTGAAGCCCGTGCGCCTAGAGCCTGTGCTCCACAACAAGAGAAGCCACTGCAATGAGAAGCCCGTGCACCGCAACGAAGAGTAGACCCCGTTCGCCGCAGGTAGAGAAAGCCCACACGCAGCAACGAAGACTCAACGCAGCCAAAAATAAAATAAATAAATTAAAAAAAAAGAAAAAAATTTGAGGGTAATTTATAACGTTAAATACATTAGAAAAAAAGATCTCAAATCAATTATCTAGGGTTCTATCTAAGGAAATAGAGAAGAGCAAATAAACTTGAAGTAGATAAAAGGAAGAAATAATAAAGATGAACATATATCAGTTAAGTAGGAAATGGACAAACAATAGAGAAAATCAAAGAAAATACATTTTGTTCTTTAAAAGATAAATAAAATTGATAAACCTCCAGTGAGACTAATCCAGAGAAAGAGAAGACACAATTACTGATAACAGGAATGAGAGAGGTGCGGTTGCTATGGAGTCTAAAGATATTAAAAAGATAATATGAATAACTTTATGCCAATAAATTAAACAATTTTGGATGAAATGGAAAAATCCTTTGGAAGGCACAAATTACCAAAGCTGACTCAAGAGGTGAAAATCTAAGTGGTTGTGCTTGTGTGGCTGTACATTAACTTGATTTCCTAAAAGAAAGTCCAGGCTCAGATAGCTTCACTAGTGAAGTCTGTTATATTCAAGGAAAAAAATATCAATTTTACACAAAAATCTTTTTAAAAATAGAGAAAAAGAGAGCATGTAATTCTTTTTATGACACCAGCTTACCTCTGATAATAAAACCGACGACATTACAATAAAGAATGCTATAGACCAATGATCTCATGAGCAGAGAAGCAAAAATCCTTAAAATAGTAGCAGATAGAAACCAGCAATGTATAAAAAGAGTAATTATGGTCAAATGGTGTTTATCCAAGTCATGCCAGGCTGGTTTAACATTTAAAAGTCAATGTAGGGACTTCCCTGGTGGCGCAGTGGTTAAGAATCTGCCTGCCAATGCAGGGGACACGGGTTTGAGCCCTGGTCCGGGAAGATCTCACGTGCCACAGAGCAGCTAAGCCCACGTGCCACAACTACTGAGCCTGTGCTCTAGAGCTCGCAAGCCACAACTACTGAGCCCACGTGCCACAACTACTGAAGCCTGTGCGCCTAGAGCCAGTGCTGCAGAATGAGAGAAGCCACCGCAATGAGAAGGCCGCACACTGCAATGAAGAGTAGCCCCCATTCACCACAACTAGAGAAAGCCCGTGCACAGCAACGGAGACCCAATGCAGCCAAAAATAAATAATTTATTTTTAAAAAAAGTGTAATTCACTGATTTAGTTTATTGTAAAAGAAAGGTCATAATACCATCTCAAAAGATGTAGAGAAGCATTTCACAAAATTCTGTATCCCTGATAAAATTCTTAGCAAACTAGGAATAGAAGGGAACTTCTTCAGCCTGATAATAAAGAGCATCTACAGAAATCCTACCGCTAACGTCATACTTAAAGTGGTACTACCAGAAAACCAAACCAAACAACAACAAAAAAAACCCTGATTCTGATCTTCTAGAGGAAATACAGAAGCAGAGGAACATGTTAAAAGATTCCATGGGGATGCCATTAGCAAAATCCAGAGAGTAGGAAACTATGGAATAAGTGTGCCAGCATCTTCAACAAATAAACTTCAAGGAAAATAAAGGACCGTGAGAGATAGAGGCAAACTCTTAGATTAAAAGAGACTTAAGAGATGCATCAGCCAGCTTCAGTGTGTGGCCCTTATTTGGGTCTTGATTTAAACAAATGAAAGGTAGAAACAAAGAACAGAAACCTCAATAACATTTGACATTTATGAGACAATTTGAAATCCAAACACTGATCAGATATTTGACATGGAGGAATGATTGTTAATTTTTGAAAGCCTGTCAATGAAATAGTGTGGTTACGTTAGAAAAGATTTATTTATTGTGCATATACTGAATTTTTGTAAATGAGATGTTCAAGATCTGAGATTTACTTCAGAATTTTTACTGTGTTATAGGGGAGTCAGTGGGAATATAGATGAAACAAGATTGGTGATGAAGTGATAATTAATGAAGCTGGTTACTGGCTACATTGGGTTCATTATTTTATTCTCTCTACCTTTGTATATATTTTTAAATTTTCATGATAAAAAGTTAAGAAAAATTACTAGTTATCAGTATTGACCACTTACATATTTTAGGAGACTTATAAATATTAATGTATTTAAGCCTCCCAGAAACTGCATGGTTTTCAAAGATGGAAAAATGTAATTGTCAGAAGTTTGAAACTTGTTTAAACTCTGTCACCTATTGGGTGACAGAGCCAGAATTTGCAACCAGATTTATCAGACAGGAGGTTTCGTTTCTATTTTGCTGGGCTGTGCTGACTTTCATATACTATGCTGCTTTATCTTCCTGTTTCCTCTTGTGTTTTTTGTTGATATTTATTTCAAAGAACTTGGAGGTACCATTTCAATTAGCCCTATTCTTTGCCAGAAGCAGTGACTGCCTGTCATCCAGTAGTGGGCAGGTTGCAACAATTTTGCTTCAAATTTAGAAGTTGGCATGTTCTTCCCTTTACGCATTACTCTGAAAAATAAAGAGACCGTATATAAGCAGAGAATTACTTTTTGCACTTTGTCCTTCATGGCACTTCCACTGACAGACTGGCATTTGACTCACATTTTTTTCCCCCACTCACTTATGGGATGAAACCATGTTGTCTCTGTAATCCACATTCTTTAAAACTTGAGACTCCTAATGCATGTAATTTTTACCTTTAAATTTTTTTTTTTTAGGCTTTGGTTGGAGAGAAGGCTTGTTATCAATCCATCAGTAGCTATGGTGGTCAGATCTTTTATTTGGGGACAAAAGTAAGTTCTTCCACTCTGTGACTTGGTGTGCATTTGTGTCAGGTTAGTAGGGGCTGAAGGAGGTTGCTGGTAAAGAGGGCAGCGCATTACAGAATGAATACTGATTAGCAGTAATCGAAAACTTTTAGGGGTTAGATGATTTTTAATTAATTTTTTTTAAGACTGCCCTTTTATTTCATTATAGGTTATTATAAGATGTTGAATATAGTTCTCTGTGCTTTACAACTAATTAATTTATTTCCTCTACTTTTAGACATACTGTATTTTTACTTTTGTTTAGGTTCTGGTTTTCTTTGTTCAGAGGGATACTTTCATAATGTTCCTTCACATTTATGTTTTCATGACCAGGAAGATACCTTATCATTAATATTTGACATGTAATTAAGATGTCCTTTAGCTTAGATCATCTTAGGGTATATTAAAACGCATTGAGACATTTGACTTAGAATAGGAAATTTTTGTATGTCAATTTGTTCCTGTGGGTTTTTTTTTTTTTAAACTTAACATGGAGGGCTTCCCTGGTGGCACAGTGTTTAAGAATCCGCCTGCCAATGCAGAGGACACAGGTTTGAGCCCTGGTGCAGGAAGATCCCACATGCCGCAGAGCAACTAAGCCCATGCGCCACAACTACTGAGCCTGCGCTCTAGAGCCCATGAGCCACAGCTACTGAGCCTGCGTTCTAGAGCCTGTGCTCCGCAACAAGAGAAGCCACCACAATGAGAAGCCCACACACCGCAACGAAGAGTATCCCCTGCTCTCCATGACTAGAGAAAGCCCGTGCACAGCAACGAAGACCCAGTGCAGCCACAAATAAATAAATAAATTAAAAAAAAAACTTAGCACGGAGAAACATGTTGGGAGATTGGACTTTCCTTCTTCCTTGTCCGTGGAATTAACTCCCCTTCTTGGACTGTAGACTTACTGACCTTTAAATGTTTGATTTACTCTTTAACGTGGGCCCTTGAAGACGCTTTAGTAAATACTTTTAACTGTAGTATGAAATGTTTTTACTTAAAGAGATGTAAAATGAAATGTAGGACTGAGACAAATGTGTCTCTCAAACAAGTCTGTTAAAGATGATAATTTTAATTTCCATCTCTTTGTTTTCCAGTCTGTTTATGTGATGATGCTGAGGAGCTGGAGAGAGGTGAGTTCAAAGTAATTTTATATGTTAGCACTATTGAATTGAGAGCATCTTAACGTTTTTTGTTCTGACTTTGCAGAAAAAGAGTATTTGGATTTGTGCTTTTTAATTTCAGAAGTGTACATCAAAACCATTGTAACTATCATATACTTGATTTGATAAAACTGACTATAACTAATGATAAGGTTTGGCTGCATATATCAGAAAATTCAAAATACCAGTGGTGTAAAAGAACTCTCTCTCATGTAAAAGCAATCTGGAGGTAGGCAGTCTGTGGCTAGTATGGCAACTCCATGGTCTTTGGCATACTACCCTGTTGTGCCATCCTTGTGTGTGGATTCTAGTCTCAAGGTCATTTCATGTTCCAATATGACTGCTGGAGTTCCAGCTTTTAAATCCACATTCCAGGAAGGAGGAAAGAGAAGAGAAGGCTGGCTCCGGCCTTTTAAGGTGACATCCCAGAAAGGTCCAGATAGCACTTCCACTTATCATTGGCCAGAACTTAGTCACATGGCCCCAAGTGGCTACAAGGGAGTCTTAAAAATGTTCTTTAGCTGGTTTATTGCTGTCTCAAATAAACTTGGGATTTGTTACGAAAGAGGAGGAAGTGAATGGATGTTGTGATAACTAGCTGTTTCTGCTACAGTGACATTCTAGCTGTTTCCTCTTTTCATATTTAGGCCTTGTGGCTGCTTATACTAGCCTATACAGTCACTGTACTATCCAGTGCTTTAAGAAATTGTTTTTCTTGGAAATAAGATATTCACATGGTTATTGGAATAATTTCAGCTACTAAGCTGCAACTTCTGGTAAGATATTAGGTAGAATAGGGATTTTGACTGGTGATTGGTCAGACAGAGGCGTCTGTCTTCTCTCATTTATTCATTTTAGAGAGTGGATCACCTCCTGAAACAAGACTGTCTTACAGAAGCCTTGGTTCTTGCATGGTCTTTCCATGAAGGAAAAGCAAAAGCAGTAGTGGGTAAGTTAACAGAACACCGGTTAGTAGGTGTTGTTTTTCTGGAGCAGGGAAAATGGATAATACTAATCACTTCCAGAACACTTTTGACTTAGTGTTCAAGTGTTTTATAAGCAAGATGTTATCAAACCTTACAGACTTTCAGTGAAAAAGGTTAATGACGAATACAGGATATAGAATTTTAGATGTCACTTTTAAAATTCATTTCATAAGGAAAATTTATTATTAGAACAAAAGGGAAGTACATTGATAAGCTGTCTGGTCCAATAGATGGGAGGTGTACCTGTTATGGCATATTATCCAACATTTTGATACCTAAGGATTGTTATATCTACTGTTAGCATAGGTTATCAGTAGAAGACCAGGGCAGTTTCATTCCTGAAGATATGGATTAACTTTGTATTTATGCTGGATTTTGCTTCTCTGCAGGATTATCAGGGGATGCCAGTAAGAGAAAGGCTGTTGTTGCAGATCGGGTGAGTATTTTAATAGGGTCTTTACTGGGGTACAGTGCAGATTGCCTTTGGTATTTGCTAATAATCTTGGGCGTGATTAGGTAAATGACTATAGTTAAGAAGAGAGTGTATAAAGAAAACAAGTCAGATTGTAATTCCTTGGTGTTATCTTGAGTGCTTTTTAAATTCCTTCTTATCACCCTTTCTTTTTTCCCTTGCTCACTCTCATGAAAATTATAGATAGTAAAATAGCCAAAAGACAGCAGACAGTAGGAGGAGTAAAAAACCCAGGGATCTGGGTTATCTCTGAACCTAATTATAGTCCATAGAAAGTTGAGATTTGCTGGTCTTTATAAACTGATTAGTAATAGTGAGAAATACTATATGTGCAAGTGTTTGTGTTGCCTGAGGGAGCAGAGAGGCCTGATGTTTATTATCATTATTAATTAGTATTAATATGGTTAATGTTAATATTTAAGACCAGCTTTGTTTTCCTAGTCTAGACTTGCTTGAATTCATTTACTATAGTCATTCCTCCCCCTTTTTATTGTGCAAATGCATTGGTAAAAATTAGATTCCAAATTAGTATAAACATTTAGAAAACATACACAGAAGTTGGTCAATCCTGAGACTTATAAGTGATTTTCTCAGTATCTGGTAAAAAAGTATTGGCTATCTGTGTTCTTTAGGGAAAGACATATGCAGAGGATAACTGAAGAGCTAAACTTCAACTTTTTACTTCCTGAGCAATATATATACTAATGAGGTCTGGAACCTGGAGGTATTTATTAGGAAAGATTAGCAAATTGGTACTAACCCTGAGGCTGAAAGAAATTAGGCTGGGGTTAAAAACACTGAGAAATAAAGTCACTAAAATTTTAAATTATATTTTTAATATAATAGCAAAGCCTGATTCTGTATTATTTAAGAAGATCACATATATTAAGTATTGAAAAACTTTAGAGACATACTTTAATTTATATACAAAGCTGTTTTCCTTACAGATGGTGGAAATCCTGTTCCATTATGCAGATCGAGCTCTAAAAAAGTGCCCAGACCAGGGAAAAATCCAAGTGATGGAGCAGCATTTTCAGGTACACCTTTGCAAGTGCTTCTAATAGACATTGCTATGAATAGGTCTAGTACTACTGCTCTGATATTATATGAGAATGGGACTTTCATGTTTTGGTTAAACATTTTTCAGTGTTCAGAGCTTTATTACAGGGTTTGTGGAGCATTCTCAGTGATTGAATTTTGAGGTAACAGGTGTACAGACACATGGGAACAGATGAGTAAAATGTTGTGGGTTGTTAGTGCTTAGGCACTTGGTGCTGCATGGAAGGAAAGAATGTATGTATGAGGGTACATACCTGAGAATTGACACCTTACACCTTGCTGATGACTAACACTTATGTTAACTAGGTTAGTTGGAGAAGAACTGTACTACCAAGGTTTAAATTTAGTTCTCCTAGGAGCACCTGTGATTCAAGATTAGATATGTTGCCAAAAAAAAAAATTATGATCTCTTAAATATACTGATGAACGGCCTTTAGTTTCTCTTGAAACTCAGTGAAAATGGAAGTCAAGGAATGACTTAAAGACCTGCACAGTGCTTATTATGAGAGTTTCACCATTTGCAGTGATCTCAAAATATATTTGTTGCAAATCTGTGTCTTCTTTCCCATTCTGAGGGCTCCCTCCCCTACCCCTGCCTCCTCTTTTAACAAACATTTGAGGATCTGATACGGGGGGCAGCAAACATTTTCTGAGAAGGGCTAGATGGAAAATTTAGGCTTTGTGGGGTATATATGGACTCTGTCGCATATTCCTCTGAGTGATTTTTTATTTGTTTGTTTTTAAACAACCCTTTAAAAATGTAAAAACCATTCTTAGCTGTGAGCCATTCAGAAACAGGCTGTGGGAGGACTTGGCCCATGGGTCAAAGGATGCAGCCTCTGGTCTAACATGTACTAGGCACTGGGCGGTAGTGTGTAAAAGGTAAGTAGTCCTTGCTATCTTAAAGTTGACAATCTAGTCAAAATAACTTTTCTTGTGTACATTAATGGAAATGTTTAAAAGAAATCTAGGGTTTTGGAGTTCTGAGGAGCAGACACAGCTCATATCTTTTTTATATCTCCATTTGCTGCTCTTAACGTTGGAAGACAAGGATAGATGTGGCAATTAACAGTTGGAGGGTATCAAAACAGGATTTGGTTTCCTGAACTGTACTCTTTAATGCTGCAGTAGTGGGCTTCTGGCAGAGTAACTTGTACTGCCTTTTGGCTAGAGGCTTATTACATTTGTCAGTAAAGAGGAGAAAGAAGCCTATATAAGATTATAAAAATAGATAACTTAGGAGAGGAAAACATATGGCAGAAAGAAGGCATTTGGGGACAAAACTGTTTGGGAACAGTACCTTGTATATATATGATTTTGTATATCAATGCAGTATATATAGAAAAGAAAACTTAGTATTTTAACCAGAAGGTATCTGTTACCAAGAGGTGGTAAGATGGTACTCATGTAAGAACTCTGGTCGTTGGAAGATGTACTTTGTTGAAAAGAAACATCCAATAGGGAATGCTAGGAGGGGCTAATGAGGGGTGTGTGTGTGTGCGTGTGCGCATGTACACATAAGATGGAAACCACCTTGCTGGGGAAGAATATGGTAGAGAGCTATAAAAGAAGAAAGGAACAAAAGTGATATTCTGATGGAGAGATATGAAAGAATCTCAGCATAAGATTGTAAAATTTACTGAGAAACAAACTGTAGTAGTAATGTGTTCTTTAACCATCTAGGTATTTGTCAGAAGTTTCATTCTGCTAAAAAGAGTATCTGATAACATTTTTAATTTATTAATCATTTAGTCTCATAGGTGGTAAAGGAAACGATGGTGGGAACCATTATCCTGAATTTACTTTTTCCCAATGATTGGGAAAATAGAAGGGATAGATTATTGATAGGAAAATTATCATTTATTTTAAAGTTTGTAATAATGATGAAAAAATAACATTTGTGAATCCTGTGTTTTAGAAAGCAGATATTTTAAGGAAAAAAATATGGGCACAGTCTCATGGTTATAGGCTCCAAAATGATAATAGGTTCACAAAGAACAGGAAATTCTTAAATTCTGATGTAATAACCACAAACAATTCAAAGAGAAAGGAAATGGGAAGGAATGTTGAGAGAAGTATCTGTCTACAAAACACAGAACAGCTACCAGAGTTGGATAGAGGCAGATAACTAAAGATATTTGCCAAAAGCATCAAGAATCTATACGACTGTCAGAAAAGAGGCTGGTCTGGTGCAGATTGTGCCTACCAAAATGCTAAGGGGCACGAAGGAGGGCTTTTGGCAAAGATTCACTGAATACGTATATTATGTGCCAAGTGCTACGTGAAGGGTGTGACATTCATTTTTTTTTTAACATCTTTATTGGAGTATAATTGCTTTACAATTATAGTGTGTGTTAGTTTCTGCTTTACAACAAAATGAATTTTGTTTTACAACAAAATTTCTGCTTTACAACAAATTATAGTGTGTGTTAGTTTCTGCTTTACAACAAAATGAATCAGTTATATATATACATATGTTCCCATATCTCTTCCCTCTTGCGTCTCCATCCCTCCCACCCTCCCTATCCCACCCCTCCAGGTGATCACAAAGCACCAAGCTCATCTCCCTGTGCTATGCGGCTGCTTCCCACTAGCTGTCTACCTTATGTTTGGTAGTGTATATATGTCCATGCCTCTCTCTCGCTTTGTCACAGCTTACCCTTCCCCCTCCCCATATCCTCAAGTCCATTCTCTAGTAGGTCTGTGTCTTTATTCCTGTCTTAGCCCTAGGCTCTTCATGACATTTTTTTCCCCTTAAATTCCATATATATGTGTTAGCATACGGTATTTGTCTCTCACTTTCTGACTTACTTCACTCTGTATGACAGACTCTAGGTCTATCCACCTCATTACAAATAGTTCAATTTCATTTCTTTTTATGGCTGAGTAATATTCCATTGTATATATGTGCCACATCTTCTTTATCCATTCATCCGATGATGGACACTTAGGTTGTTTCCGTCTCCGGGCTATTGTAAACAGAGCTGCAATGAACATTTTGGTACATGACTCTTTTTGAATTATGGTTTTCTCAGGGTATATGCCCAGTAGTGGGGTTGCTGGGTCATATGGTAGTTCTATTTGTAGTTTTTTAAGGAACCTCCATACTGTTCTCCACAGTGGCTGTATCAATTTACATCATTCCCACCAACAGTGCAAGAGAGTTCCCTTTTCTCCACACCCTCTCCAGCATTTATTGTTTCTAGATTTTTTGATGATGGCCATTCTGACTGGTGTGAGATGATATCTCATTGTAGTTTTGATTTGCATTTCTCTAATTAATGATGTTAAGCATTCTTTCATGCGTTTGTTGTCCATATATCTTCTTTGGAGAAATGTCTATTTAGGTCTTCTGCCCATTTTTGGATTGGGTTGTTTGTTTATTTGTTATTAAGCTGCATGAGCTGCTTATAAATTTTGGAGATTAATCCTTTGTCAGTTGCTTCATTTGCAAATATTTTTTCCCATTCTGAGGGTTGTCTTTTGGTCTTGTTTATGGTTTCCTTTGCTGTGCAAAAGCTTTGAAGTTTCATTAGGTCCCATTTGTTTATTTTTGTTTTTATTTCCATGTCTCTAGGAGGTGGGTCAAAAAGGATCTTGCTGTGATTTATGTCATAGAGTGTCCTGCCTATGTTTTCCTCTAAGAATTTGATAGTTTCTGGCCTTACATTTAGGTCTTTAATCCATTTTGAGTTTATTTTTGTGTATGGTGTTAGGGAGTGATCTAATCTCATACTTTTACATGTACCTGTCCAGTTTTCCCAGCACCACTTATTGAAGAGGCTGTCCTTTCTCCACTGTACATTCCTTCCTCCTTTATCTAAGATAAGGTGACCATATGTGTGTGGGTTTATCTCTGGGCTTTCTATCCTGTTCCATTGATCTATCTTTCTGTTTTGGTGCCAGTACCATACTGTCTTGATTACTGTAGCTTTGTAGTATAGTCTGAAGTCAGAGAGCCTGATTCCTCCAGCTCCATTTTTCGTTCTCAAGATTGCTTTGGCTATTCGGGGTCTTTTGTGTTTCCATACAAATTGTGAAATTTTTTGTTCTAGTTCTGTGAAAAATGCCAGTGGTAGTTTGATAGGGATTGCATTGAATCTGTAGATTGCTTTGGGTAGTAGAGTCATTTTCACAATGTTGATTCTTCCAATCCAAAAACGTGGTATATCTCTCCATCTATTTGTATCGTCTTTAATTTCTTTCATCAATGTCTTATTGTTTTCTGCATACAGGTCTTTTGTCTCCTTAGGTAGGTTTATTCCTAGATATTTTATTCTTTTCGTTGCAACGGTAAATGGGAGTGTTTTCTCGATTTCAGTTTCAGATTTTTCATCATTAGTGTACAGGAATGCCAGAGATTTCTGTGCATTAATTTTGTATCCTGCTACTTTACCAAATTCATTGATTAGCTCTAGTAGTGTTCTGGTAGCATCTTTAGGATTCTCTATGTATAGTATCGTGTCATCTGCAAACAGTGACAGCTTTACTTCTTCTTTTCCGATTTGGATTGCTTTTATTTCCTTTTCTTCTCTGATTGCTGGGGCTAAAACTTCCAAAACTGTGTTGAATAAGAGTGGTGAGAGTGGGCAACCTTGTCTTGTTCCTGATCTTAGTGGAAATGCTTTCAGTTTTTTACCATTGAGGACGATGTTGGCTGTGGGTTTGTCGTATATGGCCTTTATTATGTTGAGGAAAGTTCCCTCTATGCCTACTTTCTGGAGGGTTTTTATCATAAATGGGTGTTGAATTTTGTCGAAAGCTTTCTCTGCATCTATTGAGATGATCATTTGGTTTTTCTCCTTCAATTTGTTAATATGGTGTATCACGTTGATTGATTTGCGTATATTGAAGAATCCTTGCATTCCTGGAATAAACCCCACTTGATCATGGTGAATGATCCTTTTAATGTGCTGTTGGATTCTGTTTGCTAGTATTTTGTTGAGGACTTTTGCATCTATGTTCATCAGTGATATTGGCCTGTAGTTTTCTTTCTTTGTGACATCTTTGTCTGGTTTTGGTATCAGGGTGATGGTGGCCTCGTAGAAGGAATTTGGGAGTGTTCCTCCCTCTGCTATATTTTGGAAGAGTTTGAGAAGGATAGGTGTTAGCTCTTCTCTAAATGTTCGATAGAATCCGCCTGTGAAGCCATCTGGTCCTGGGCTTTTCTTTGTTGGAAGGTTTTTAATTACGGTTTCAATTTCAGTGCTTGTGATTGGTCTGTTCATGTTTTCTATTTCTTCCTGATTCAGTCTCGGCAGGTTGTGCATTTCTAAGAATTTGTCCATTTCTTCCAGGTTGTCCATTTTATTGGCATGTAGTTGCTTGTAGTAATCTCTCATGATCTTTTGTATTTCTGCAGTGTCAGTTGTTACTTCTCCTTTTTCATTTCTAATTCTATTGATTTTAGTCTTCTCCCTTTTTTTCTTGATGAGTCTGGCTAATGGTTTATCAATTTTGTTTATCTTCTCAAAGAGCCAGGTTTTAGTTTTATTGATCTTTGCTGTCGTTTCCTTTATTTCTTTTTCATTTATTTCTGATCTGATTTTTATGATTTCTTTCCTTCTGCTAACTTTGGGGTTTTTTTGTTCTTCTTCCTCTAATTGCTTTAGGTGCAAGCTTAGGTTGTTTATTCGAGATGTTTCCTGTTTCTTAAGGTAGGCTTGTATTGCTATAAACTTCCCTCTTAGAACTGCTTTTGCTGCATCCCATAGGTTTTGGGTCATCGTGTCTCCATTGTCATTTTCTTGTAGGTATTTTAAATTTCCTCTTTGATTTCTTCAGTGATCACTTCGTTATTAAGTAGTGTATTGTTTAGCCTCCATGTGTTTGTATTTCTTACAGATATTTTCCTGTAATTGATATCTAGTCTCATAGCATTGTGGTCAGAAAGGATACTTGATTTTCTTAAATTTACCAAGGCTTGATTTGTGACCCAAGATATGATCTATCCTGGAGAATGTTCCATGAGCACTTGAGAAAAATGTGTATTCTGTTGTTTTTGGATGGAATGTCCTATAAATATCAATTAAGTCCATCTTGTTTAATGTATCATTTAAAGCTTGTGTTTCCTTATTTATTTTCATTTTGGATGATCTGTCCATTGGTGAAAGTGGGATGTTAAAGTCCCCTACTATGAATGTGTCACTGTCGATTTCCTCTTTTATGGCTATTAGTATTTGCCTTATGTATTGAGGTGCTCCTATGTTGGGTGCATAAGTATTTACAACTGTTGTATCTTCTTGGATCGATCCCTTGATCATTATGTAGTGTCCTTCTTTGTCTCTTGTAATAGTCTTTATTTTAAAGTCTATTTTGTCTGATACGAGAATTGCTACTCCAGCTTTCTTTTGGCTTCCATTTGCATGAAATATCTTTTTCCATCCCCTCACTTTCAGTCTGTATGTGTCTCTGGGTCTCTTGTAGACAGCAAATATATGGGTCTTGTTTTTGTATCCATTCAGCCAATCTGTGTCTTTTAGTGGGAGCATTTAATCCATTTACATTTAAGGTAATTATCGATATGTATGTTCCTATTCCCATTTTCTTAATTGTTTTGGGTTCATTATTGTAGGTCTTTTACTTCTCTTGTGTTTCTTGCCTAGAGAAGTTCCTTTAGCATTTGTTGTAAAGCTAGTTTGGTGGTGCTGAACTCTCTCAGCTTTTACTTGTCTGTAAAGGTTTTAATTTCTCCATCAAATCTGAATGAGATCCTTGTTGGGTAGAGTAATCTTGGTTGTAGGTTTTTCTCCTTCATCACTTTAGGTATGTCCTGCCAGTCCCTTCTGGCTTGCAGAGTTTCTGCTGAAAGATCAGCTGTTAACCTTATGGGGATTCCCTTGTGTATTATTTGTTGTTTTTCCCTTACTGCTTTTAATATTTTTTCTTTGTATTTAATTTTTGACAGTTTGATTAATATGTGACTTGGTGTATTTCTCCTTGGATTTATCCTGTATGGGACTCTCTGTGCTTCCTGGACTTGATTAACTATTTCCTTTCCCATATTAGGAAAGTTTTCAACTATAATCTCTTCAAATATTTTCTCAGTCCCTTTCTTTTTCTCTTCTTCTTCTGGAACCCCTATAATTCGAATGTTGATGCGTTTAATGTTGTCCCAGAGGTCTCTGAGACTGTCCTCAGTTCTTTTCATTCTTTTTTCTTTATTCTGCTCTGCAGTAGTTATTTCCACTATTTTATCTTCCAGGTCACTTATCCGTTCTTCTGCCTCAGTTATTCTGCTATTGATCCCATCTATAGTATTTTTCATTTCATTTACTGTGTTGTTCATCATTGTTTGTTTCATCTTTAGTTCTTCTAGGTCCTTGTTAACTGTTTCTTGCATTTTGTCTATTCTATTTCCAAGATTTTGGATCATCTTTACTATCATTCTGAATTGTTTTTCAGGTAGACTGCCTATTTCCTCTTCATTTGTTAGGTCTGGTGGGTTTTTACCTTGCTCCTTCATCTGCTGTGTGTTTTTCTGTCTTCTCATTTTGCTTATCTTACTGTGTTTGGGGTCTCCTTTTTGCAGGCTGCAGGTTCGTAGTTCCCGTTGTTTTTGGTGTTTGTCCCCAGTGGCTAAGGTTGGTTCAGTGGGTTGTGTAGGCTTCGTGGTGGAGGGGACTAGTGCCTGTGTTCTCGTGGATGAGGCTGGATCTTGTCTTTCTGGTGGGTAGGTACACGTCTTTGGGGTGTCTGTGGCCTTATTATGATTTTAGGCAGCCTCTCTGCTAATGGGTGGGGTTGTGTTCCTGTCTTGCTTGTTGTTTGGCATAGGATGTTCAGCACTGTAGCTTGCTGGTCGTTGAGTGAAGCTGGGTGATAAGTGTTGAGATGGAGATCTCTGGGAGATTTTCACCATTTGATATTATGTGGAGCTGGGAGATCTCTTGTGGACCAGTGTCCTGAAGCTGGCTCTCCCACCTCAGAGGCACAGCACTGACTCCTGGCTGCAGCACCAAGAGCCTTTCATCCACACGGCTCAGAATAAAAGGGAGAAAAAGTAGAAAGAAAGAATTAGTAGAAGTAGAAAGAAAGAAAGAAAGAAAGAAAGGAGGGAGGGAAGGAGGGAGGGAGGAAGGAAAGAAGGAGGGAAGGAAGGAATAAAAGAAAGGATGAAGATAAAGTAAAATAAAATAAAGGTAAAATATAATAAAGTTATTAAAATAAAAAAATAATTATTAAGAGAAAAACAAAACGGACTGATAGAGCCCTAGGACAAATGGTGGAAGCAAAGCTATACAGACAAAATCTCACATAGAAGCATACACATCCACACTCACAAAAAGTGGAAAAGGGGAAAAAAATCATAAATCTTGCTCTCAGAGTCCACCTCCTCAATTTGTGATGATTCGTTGTCTAAAGGAGGGAAGGAAGGAAAGAAAGAACGAAGATAAAGTAAAATAAAATAAAGTTATTAAAATAAAAAGTAGGTATTAAGAAAAAAAATAAAAAAAAAACGGACGGATAGAACCCTCGGACAAATGGTGGAAGCAAAGCTATACAGACAAAATCTCACACAGAAGCATACACATACACACTCACAAAAAAAGAAGGGGGAAAAATCATAAATCTTGCTCTCAAAGTCCACCTCCTTAATTTGGGATGATTCGTTATCTATTCAGGTATTCCACAGATGCAGGGTACATCAAGTTGATTGTGGAGCTTTAATCCGCTGCTTCTGAGGCTGCTGGGAGAGATTTCCCTTTCTCTTCTTTGTTCGCACAGCTCCCGGGCTCAGCTTTGGATTTGGCCCCGCCTCTGCGTGTAGGTCGCCTGAGGGCGTCTGTTCTTTGCTCAGACAGGACGGGGTTAAAGGAGCCGCTGATTCGGGGGCTCTGGCTCACGCAGGCCGGGGGGAGGGAGGGGCACGGAGTGCGGGGCAAGCCTGCGGCGGCAGAGGCCGACGTGACGTTGCACCTGCCTGAGGCGCGCCGTGTGTTCTCCCGGGGAAGTTGTCCCTGGATCCCGGGACCCTGGCAGTGGTGGGCTGCACAGGCTCTCCGGAAGGGGGGTGTGGATAGTGACCTGTGCTCGCACACAGGCTTCTTGGTGGCAGCAGCAGCAGCCTTAGCGTCTCATGCCTGTCTCTGGAGCTCCTTTAAGCAGCGCTCTTAATCTCCTCTCCTCACGCACCAGGAAACAAAGAGGGAAGAAAAAGTCTCTTGCCTCTTCGGCAGGTCCAGACTTTTCCCCGGACTCCCTCCCGGCCAGCCATGACGCACTAACCCCCTTCAGGCTGTGTTGACGCCGCCAACCCCAGTCCTGTCCCTGCGCTCCGACCGAAGCCTGAGCCTCAGCTCCCAGCCCCGGCGGGGGAGCAGACAAGCCTCTTGGGCTGGTAAGTGCCGGTCGGCACCGACCCTCTGTGCGGGAATCTCCCCGCTTTGCCCCCCGCACCCCCCTCCTGTGCTCTCCTCGCGGCTCCAAAGCTTTCCCCCTCTGCCACCCGCAGCCTCCGCCCGCGAAGGGGCTTCCTAGTGTGTGGAAACCGTTCCTCCTTCACAGCTCCCACCCACTGGTGCAAGTCCGTCCCTATCCTTTTGTCTCTGTTTATTCTTTTTTGCCCTACCCAGGTACGTGGGGGGGGGGGTTTCTTGCCTTTTGGGAGGTCTGAGGTCTTCTGGAGCGTTCGGTAGGTGTTCTGTAGGAGTTGTTCCACGTGCAGATGTATTTCTGGAGTATCTGTGGGGGGGGAAGGTGATCTCCACATCTTACTCTTCCGCCATCTTCCCGGAAGCTCCTCATTTTTGTTTAATTCTCACAACAGCACCACGAAGTAGATACTGTTTTTATCCTCATTTTATTGATGAGGAAATTTAGGCTGAGAGAGGTTAAGTGACTTCCCAAGGTAGTATTGCTGATAAAGGGTGAGGACAGAACTCCAATCCAGGTTTTTCTGACTTCAGAGCCCAGCTCTTAACTAACCATTGTACTATTTTGTTATTTTCAGAGCAAGTGCAGGGAAAGGATGAGTGAGAAGGGGTGATGTTAATAGGTGATCAAGAATGATAATTATAGCAAACATCTGAAGTCTTTATTGCTTACTGTGTGGCAGGCACTGTTACAAACCCTTCACACTTGTTAGCTCATTTAATTCCTATAACTCTATGAGGTAGGTACTGTCGTTATTCACATTTATCAATGAGACTGAGGCACAGAGAGGTTGAATTGCCTGTTCCAGGTCACATAGCTAGTGAATGATAGAGCTGGGATTAGAATCCAGGCGCTTGGGCTTCAGAGTCCACATCTGGACTTCTACACTCTACTCTAGAGCAACACTTCTTGTTTTGCTTCCTTTTTCATGAGCACAGAGAATGGTCTTTAAAATGGAAAAGTCCAGGGACTTCACCATCCAATGCAGGGTGGTCCAGTGGTTGGGACTTCACCATCCAGTGCAGGGGGTTGCGGATTCGATGCCTGGTCGGGGAACTAGGATCCCGTATGCCTTGCGGCAGGAATGCCAGGGCATAGAGCGGAGGCAGGGTTGTGACAAATTCAGTGAAGACTTTGGGGATGGCCCACATCAAAAAAGAAAGAACGAAAATCTTAAAAAATAATAAAATAAAATGAAAAAGTCCAGATAAATATATTAAAGAAAAAAGTTGAAGCCCAGGATATATTTCATATAGTTACATCATGATTGTTCAAATCTCAAGACGCACTGGAATTATAACCTGGGATCCTGTTTGAATGATCTGAGCTATCATTAATAATTTGTAAGTAACTTTGGATCAGTATTCAGTTAAGACACACTCACTTAAGCATGGATGCCTAAGCAGAGGAGACACAGTTTATTTCACTCAGGAGGACTATTTGCTTTTGGAAAAGGTGATCTTCAGCCCATTAGGATGAGTGAAATACATGCACAAGTCACCATAAATCTGCAGTTTTAAGTGTTAAGTCATAAATATTTAATCATAAAACAGTCATAAAATAATTAAATAGGTTAACTCTTAAAGTGTAATTTTTTAAAAGAAGAGTGGACATAGGAAACTACCCACTGATAACCCCAGTGTGGTTTATGAGCAATTTTTCATGAGTTCACCTAAAAACAACCTTGCTAAACTCATAAAGTGCATTTTTGACAGGAATGTGAGGACACTATATTCTTCTTTTTAATTAATTATTTTTTTGGCTGCATTGGGTCTTCGTTGCTGTGCGCAGGCTTCTCATTGCAGTGGCTTCTCTTTGTTGCGGAGCAGAGGCTCTAGGTGCGCGGGCTTCAGTAGTTGTGGCACACAGGCTCAGTGATTGTGGCTCGTGGGCTGTAGGGCGCAGGCTGAGTCGTTGTGGTGCATGGGCTTAGTTGCTCCATGGCATGTGTGATCTTCCCGGACCAGGGATCAAACCCATGTCCCCTGCGTTGGCAGGCGGATTCTTAACCACTGCACCACCAGGGAAGTCCCCGGACACTATATTCAAGCAGTGCTTATTACATAACACCTTGATTTTGTTAAAGCATTTTTCTTAGTTCTCCATTATCCTCATTGCTGAAGTAGATCAGTAAACAGTAAGTAGATTTGCAGATGATGGACATCCCTCCCCAAAGAGCATTCTTGGTGGCTTAGTATTAATTACTTTCTAGGGATCTTTCATATCCAAGTTTTTATCATTGATTTGGATGAAGATTTATGGAGTGGCTTGTCAAATTTAGATGGCACCAAGAAATCAGGTCCCCAATGATCTTGACAAAGTGCAGTCAAAATTGTTATGAGATGAAATTTAACAAGGGTAAACGACTTGCACTAGATTCAAATAATTAAGTTGCATGCATACTGGATTGGGAAAATCTAGCTGGACAGGATTTTAGTTGACCACAAACTTAGTGTGAGCCAATTGTGTGTTAAGGCCCAGATAGAGGAAAGTGATCGTACCACTGGCCTATGTGTTGAAAATAAAAACTCTAAGATATTTTATGGACTGTTGACAGACTGACCTACATCCCACAACTGGGATGGTGGGAGGTTTTAAAAACAACAGTTAAAAAAAATACTGGGGTTGTTTAATCTGAGGAGAAAGTAAGTGGAGACATGGCTGCTCTCAGATGGTGAAGGACTGTCTTATGGAGATTTATTGTATTGCAGCAGAGGGAAGGCTAATGTAAGTGGGTAGAAATCAGGAGAAGGTCTATTTCAGTTTAAAATGACCTAGTGATGATGTAACAAGTCTTGGACTTGTGTGCCTCCTACTATTGAATGTACTGAAGTAAAGGGATGATGACCAACTAATCAGGAGTGTTTTTTAAAAGACTTTGTTTTGCTGGGTGGGAAGGTCTGAGAATTCTGTATCATTATGGAGAAACTCATTGGAAACAGGTAACCTCTAATCCAATTAGTTCAAATTCCTAAGACTAGTTTCTATCTCAGGCAAAATACTGAGCATTTGCATTTTACCAGCAGGTGGCACTAATGCCTGCTGTCTCAGTTTTAATCTTTACCTTTGAGAAGGAGTCTCACCTTTTCCTTAGAGTCAGAATATATAATGCCATTCAGTATTTCTGCTTTCCTCCAAAGATCAATCAATATTTTGCCCTGTCTTAACTACAGAAGATAACTTTTGGATCTCATGACGTTTTTGACAGGCTGTGGCTTTTATTTATCTAAAAAAGATTTGAACCTATAATTATAATTTATTTGTACACTAGCTAGTAAGATTAAAAGGAATTAAAGTGCTCTCTGCCTCACGCATCTTGAACCTTGCCTTTTCTTCGGGCTGTCTTTCCTATCCCCAAAACAAAGTCAAACAGCAAACAAATCCCTTCTTTGCCCCGCGCCATCTCCCATAGTCTTATGCCTCTTGTTTGTACAATCTTAACAGAGCCACACATCTTATGCGCTGTCTCCATCTCCTCACCTCCCTCTCATTCCGTGTCTGTGAATTCTGTGGTCCCTTTTATTCCTCATCTTATTGGTCCTCAGTAGTATTCAACACAGTTAACGACTCTGGAAACAGTCTGTCCCTTTGGCTTCTCTGTTATCCGAGTTCCCTGCTAACAGTGTTCTCTAACTCTAAAGTTGCCCAATGAACTGTGGAAGCATTTTCATGTATTTTGGGTTATTTTATCTTGCTACATTTATCTGAAACAAAGTAGAGGTATAATAAATAAACCGGAGGCATTTAAAAAATATCAATCAGGCCAAAAAGATTTGAAAAAATAATGTAATTTTAAAATATCTTCAGAGTTAAGCCTTACATTGTTACCAAGCTCTCTTTCCAGGTTCATTTTACATTTCCATGACAGAGAGAACATTCAAGGCCATTGTTACAGCAGCTGTTGGCATATATTTTTGTATTAAGAGTTCATGCCAAAGAATGGACAGAGACTAAAAGCTGAATGTAGGGTGAGGCTGTAGAGCTTTCCTTGTCTAACCCATGCTTCCCTGAGATGCTTTGAAGAAAGAAAAACAGTGTTGGTGTCCAGCATACTGCTTTATCCCTGAGGCTTGTTTAAAAATGTTGGTTCTGGGGAGTCAGATTTTTCCTAGAAGATTATTTTGTTATCATCATACCTGAAAAGGAAAAAAAAAGGAAAAATGCATATACATATATACACATACAGAGAGCTATCTATATGTGTATAGCTGCTCACGGTGTTTTGTTTGTGTACTAATACTACAATGCCAGCTGCTTAGCTCTGAGAGCCCACAGGGATCGATTGATTGATCTATCTGTCTGTCTTTCTGAGGGGGGTGTGTGTGTGTGTGTGTGTGTGTTCAGGTATGTTTATCTACTTTGCTGTACATGTACATTCTAGGCTTTGTTAGGATTTTGAATCATTATCAAACAATGTGGTTTTCATTGCCTGATTGATTTTTAGAATATAAATTATGTGAATTATATTGCTCCAGAAAGCAAAGGAATCTACATCTGCTATCTCATTTCTTTTCACATCATCCCTATGAAATAGGGAAAGGCAGAGATTATGTCTTCAGTTGGCAGATGGTAAGACAGTCACAATGCAATAAAATGATCTATTCAGTCGCTCAGACAATTGACACGCTTACATATTTAGGTTTTCTGTTAGCTCAGAGTTTTATTCACATATCCACATTGTCTTCTTTAATTAATCTTAAATGTACACAGATACCTAACAAGAGAAACAATCTTCTTTGGTCACTTGTAGGGCTGTGCATTGAGGAAAAGATTAGAGAAATATTTACTTTTTTTGGATTCTGGAGACCAAAAATTCATCCATTTCTCAGGGGTGGCCTTGTAAGCTTTT